ATGATAAAATAAATTTAAGCATCTGATATACAACCAAACTTATTCTAAGCATCAGTAAATTATTTCCTTCTTAAACAATGAATTTCATTAGTTGTATAACATATACATTTGTATACATAATTTACAATCACTTAAATATGACTTGCATTCATAATCCTAAATAAATGGTAGATTTTCGCAACATTTTCAACACATTATGCTTTTGTTCCATCCAAAAAAAAATTATCTTTCTTTTTAAACATAAAAAATAATTAGCATATTATGAACATGACTCCATTTATTCTATACATCCGTAACCTTATTCGTTTATTGTACGCCCATTAAGACCTTCGTTGGGTATGCTATGATTTGTTAAATATATTGGTAACTCTTCACATAAATTTACATTTTTACATTTTTTCTTTGTAACCACAAACCTAAAGCAATAATTACCATTCTGATTTTTATCCGCACGTCCATTCTCTATTTTATAATCACTACATTCTAACATCTAAACCCACTTTGAGCCATCTGATACACATTTATATGACGATTCTTAACAATTATCTTTATCCAATATGTTGCAATATATGAAGTCTTAACATTAACCAAAATAAAATCCACAATGCTCTTATTCTCGACAATCTTCTTATTGGAAATTCTTGCATAGATTCTAACTATTAATCTCAATATTGTATAATCGGCTGGAATTTAAAATACAAAAATCATTCTCCCAAATACAAAAACCTGAACTTTTACATTCATTTTCACTTCGAGTATTTCCAAAAACACATTGTTTTGAAATCTCTGAATTCTTTATTACAAATAACTGGATGACATAAGATGATAGAACATTTTTTAAACCATTTTAATTCCTATATAAATTTAATTAAAATACTTCTAAGTTTAATAATAATTGTTGAATTGGAATTAAATAATTTGGTAATTTTGCTATGTGAGTAGATGCATATTAGAATTAGAAATGAAAAAGTCTATAACAGGAGATCTAAGTTTACAATTTAGAATTAGATCATAGAATTAATGTATATACAAAAATGTAATAAATAAAATAAAAAATCCTTGATTCCACTCATACTTAAAAAATAATTGATACAAAATATAAAACTACCAATATTTCCGAAAATTTGAAATTTAAAATTAAGAATTATCTGTATTCAAATAATTTTAATTAAAAATAAAAAAATCACCAACCCGGAGACTTGAACTCGGATCTCTGCCGCTACAGGGCAATGTTTTACCTCTAAACTACTTGATGAACACTAATAATAATAAGAGAAAAAGTCTAAAATATATTCTTTAAAAATATTTATATTGTGCTATCATACTTGAGCAAATTTGAGAGAGTGCTTCGCTGATTGAACCAGAATTTTCATTAAGTAAGTAATAAAAAATATTAATAGATTGAAGAGAAACTCTTTTATTTATAACAATTTTTATTATTAAAAAATAAAAAAATAATAAATAAAAGATTTTAACTTGATATATTTATATTCAGAATTTTTTAAGAATACATTTCGATTCGATTAATATATTCTCAATTGAAATATACTTTTCTTTTAAAAAATAAATACATTAGTATCACTGTTATTGAATATTTATCATAAACTATACAATATAAAATCATTTTTCTAATTCTATTTTTTTCTATTTTAAATTGATTTTATAATTCACTTGGACTAAGCACATCAAAAAGAACTCCTTCGACTATGACATTATACTATTTTGTTAAACCTGAGGTTGAGAAAATATAAAACATAAGGTTTAGGATTTTTTTAGATGATGTTTATTTTATTAAAGTTCTCAAATAACTGACAGCAATCATCTCAATTTTTGTTTGCTAATCTAGGTGACATAAATGATTTCTGATCAAGAAAAAGACAAGAGGTAATCTAACTCTTTTCCATTTTGATATACAAATTTATTTTATTTCAATCGACAACTTTTTTAATAATGATCATTTTATATTTTCGAATCAAAATCAGTTTATCATTTACAAAATCTAAATTATATTATTTGAGAATTCTAAGAATTTAACATAAAGATTAGAGATAAATGAGCTTATATTTATTAAAAAATTTTCAGCAAGCTCTAAATTTATCATTTTTAATTTGTATATCTCAGAATAATAAGTTTCAAAGGGATTTATATATTTTCTAACTATTTTTCAATTCAAAAAACTATGGTGAGAAATTAAGTTGCTTTTGATTCTACTAAACTATGAAATAATTTCAATAATCTTCTGATTTTATCATATCATGAATAGTGTTTTCATGTTGAAATGCAAATTAATGAATTAAGTTAAAGTTTTAATTGGCCCTTTAGTTTATGAATTTAGTATATTTTTTATTCTAAAATAAATTTATGGTCTTATTTATATTATAATAAATCAATTCTAAAATATTTATAAATAAAAAGTTTTATTTAGAATGAAATATTTATATGAAGGCGATTAAGCACATTTGAAAATGTAAATCATTACTTTAAGTATGAGCGATTTATTCTTCAAATGTAGATTTAAATCAACAAGTAATTTTAAATTTTTACTAATATTAGAAATTAATCTTATTAGATAATCAGTAATTACGATGTGGTGTTAAATTAAAAATTCATAAATATTTGAAAAAGAAAAGATTTCAGCAAGTGCCATATAGAAAGTTAATTTCAATCTGAATTTCAATTTATGCCTAATCTTTTAAGAAAAATTCACTAATTTTAGCAATTTATGTATTATTTATTATATATGTATACCAACTTCGCTTTTTAAATACTAAAAGATGGATAATATAAATTATAGTATTCAATAAAAGTTGTATATTATGATTTATATATATTATTAAATTTTAAATATTTATGTACTTCAAAACAAGGTTTTAAACGATGATGCTAAGGACTTTTCTAGCGAAGTTATTGGTTGAATACAAGACAAAACCCTTACGAGATTGGAAGTAAGTTATGGTACAATATATACACTTTTAACTATTTTCACTCAAATATTTGAAAAAAAAATAATATTCTTAAATATTAATTCAATAAAATTAAACGGTTTGTTAATTCAAATCCCTTTTGAATTATCATAAAGCTAATAAACATTTGAATCTCTAAATAAATACTGAAATAATTGATTAAATATATAAATTGATTAATTATAAAAGATTACAAGAATTAAAAATCCTATATATATATTCAAATCAACTATTTTTTTATGAGAATCATTTTGTATAGGCAAAACAGTTGATATCTTCATTAAGTTATTGTAATCATTATTATAAGCTCTAAATAATTTCTAAATTTTATAAGGATTTGCCTATAAAAAATTGATGACAATTTATGTTATTATCATTATTAAATATAATTATCAAAACAAAATTAATGGAAAAGATGGTTTTTCTCAACATTTAATATTTGGAAATTTCATTTCTAGGAGAGCCCTTATAAAAAGAACATTTGATTAATATAACAAATAAAATAATCTTAGCAATCTAATTAAATAAATGGAGAAAAAGATCATATTCATATTTTGAAAGATAGTTTCTTAAAATGCTTTGGTGATGGTAAACCTCAATCTTAAAATATAAAACTAGGTCTACGCTAACCTCAATTTCTCTACATACCAAATAAATATAAGCATTAAAAATCTCCTTAATTTTATATTAATATTCATGTAGAGAACTAATTTTACAGATGTAGGAATGGATTAAATGATTATTGATAATGATTGAAAGCATTTAAACTTCTATTTATCTAATATTCTATATTGTGCCATAGATAGATGATATTCTAAAATCAATTGACTGCTCAAAGATAAAACTACTATTAAATCCAGAACAAAATTTTTCCAAAGTAAAAGTGTATGTCATTATGTCATTTAAGTTGCTTAATTTTACAGATTGTTCTGTCTATTTGTTTAAGGTATTCTAATTTCTACATTCAAGAATAACTCAACCATTAATTACTCATATAGAGATATTACAATAAATTTGAGCTGAAGTAAAATTAGTGTTCAGATTTAAAATGTTCTGATTTGAGTTTAAATAAATATGATTCTGATTTTGCAAGTAGTGATTGTTCACTATTTAAAGTGTTCATAGATTAAATTTACATAATATGCAAATAAGTGGTTTGTAGCAATTATAGTTGTTAATAATATTCAACCTAAATAGTATTTGAATCTTTTACAAAAACTAAAAAATATAATTTCCTTAATAATTAATGTTTTTTTAAGCTATGAAATTAAATACATCCACAGGAAATGCCAATCCAAAAGTGTAATAGTAAATTTTTTATAAAGAATATTAATAATTCAACTGAAATTTTGAGAGGTTTATGGATTTCAATATAAGGTTCTTTTAACTCATATTAGCTCCAAAGCAAAAAATATATTGAATACACTTGAGATTGCTAAGGCTATTCTCACAATAGATCTTAAACTTTATATTTAGCTACCAAATTTTTAATAGTATAATAGGGATTTATTCAAGAAATNAAAAAATTGATGACAATTTATGTTATTATCATTATTAAATATAATTATCAAAACAAAATTAATGGAAAAGATGGTTTTTCTCAACATTTAATATTTGGAAATTTCATTTCTAGGAGAGCCCTTATAAAAAGAACATTTGATTAATATAACAAATAAAATAATCTTAGCAATCTAATTAAATAAATGGAGAAAAAGATCATATTCATATTTTGAAAGATAGTTTCTTAAAATGCTTTGGTGATGGTAAACCTCAATCTTAAAATATAAAACTAGGTCTACGCTAACCTCAATTTCTCTACATACCAAATAAATATAAGCATTAAAAATCTCCTTAATTTTATATTAATATTCATGTAGAGAACTAATTTTACAGATGTAGGAATGGATTAAATGATTATTGATAATGATTGAAAGCATTTAAACTTCTATTTATCTAATATTCTATATTGTGCCATAGATAGATGATATTCTAAAATCAATTGACTGCTCAAAGATAAAACTACTATTAAATCCAGAACAAAATTTTTCCAAAGTAAAAGTGTATGTCATTATGTCATTTAAGTTGCTTAATTTTACAGATTGTTCTGTCTATTTGTTTAAGGTATTCTAATTTCTACATTCAAGAATAACTCAACCATTAATTACTCATATAGAGATATTACAATAAATTTGAGCTGAAGTAAAATTAGTGTTCAGATTTAAAATGTTCTGATTTGAGTTTAAATAAATATGATTCTGATTTTGCAAGTAGTGATTGTTCACTATTTAAAGTGTTCATAGATTAAATTTACATAATATGCAAATAAGTGGTTTGTAGCAATTATAGTTGTTAATAATATTCAACCTAAATAGTATTTGAATCTTTTACAAAAACTAAAAAATATAATTTCCTTAATAATTAATGTTTTTTTAAGCTATGAAATTAAATACATCCACAGGAAATGCCAATCCAAAAGTGTAATAGTAAATTTTTTATAAAGAATATTAATAATTCAACTGAAATTTTGAGAGGTTTATGGATTTCAATATAAGGTTCTTTTAACTCATATTAGCTCCAAAGCAAAAAATATATTGAATACACTTGAGATTGCTAAGGCTATTCTCACAATAGATCTTAAACTTTATATTTAGCTACCAAATTTTTAATAGTATAATAGGGATTTATTCAAGAAATATAGAAAACAAATAACAATTGTTCGAATAATTCCATTCATATCAGTATGATGCAAGATCCATAAAATGGTGAAAAATTATTCATTTTTACTGCTTGTTAATGAAGGTTTCATCTCAAAAAGGGTTTTCAGAATTTTATCCTGTTTGAAATGATTACTACTTAAGATATTAATAATCTACTGCAATATTTATATCCATATTTATTAAGTAAAGAAGGAAAAGTTGAACAAATACTCCTTAAGATTTAGATCGAAAATGAAAGAGATACTTAAAAATTGAATCGCACATTTTCTTATGTAAGCAAAATCTTCTGTACAAACCATTTTTCTTGTAATTCAGATTTAAATATATTGTATTTTTAATATATTTTATTTTAATTAATACTTAAATTTTCTAATGTTCAATTCTGATAATGATAAACATTGCTAAAGAATTGATATTATTAATAAATACAAATTTTTTTTATCTCTTGCAATGTAGAATCTCTCAATCAAACTTTCTATTCTATTTTTGATGAATTATTAATCTGGTTTAAAAATAGAAATCATAGATTAGCAATTTTAAAGTAATTCATGATGATCAATTGTTTTTTTTATTTTCATCAATCTTATCAATTAAGAATCCACAACTAATTCTCTTTGCTAGTTTAATTGTTAATACTCCTCATTTTCATCATGCTAGAAATTTAAATTATTGGCTTTACAGCTCTTTTTGGCAACATTTTGTGATTAGGAAACAATTTAATTTTTTTGGCTCTTTTTGTGAAACCCTTGTTTAATTTTAGAACTTCATTTTCATCTGAAAAATCTTCAATTTCCGATTTTTCCCTTGTTATTATCTTCATACAAATGAAAGGTATCAATGAATTTTCTAAAACTATCTTATCAATATTAGTCAAATCCAAGATATTTTTGATAGAGAATGAATCTGCTTTATTGAATTAAAGGAAAACAATCATTTACATTGTATTCACATTCAAGAAGTATTTTTCTGTTTATATTTTATAAATCAATTCAGCCTGCCCTAAATTATAGTACCATTTGACTATTCTATTTTTGAATTTAACTATATACAATTTTTCGTAATTCCTAAAAACAATAAGTAAATCTATACTCCAAAATATTCTAAATTTTAAGTGGCTTAATGATATTTTCAAAAATATCAAATTTAGGCCAACAGTTAGAAGTCATCAAAATCGCATTAAATTCAAATTAGATATCTTTGCTGATTTATTAATCAATGGCAAATCTGTTTGATTCTTCAATATCTTAAATCATGGTGGATAATTGAAGTCTAAGAATAATTTAAATTCTTACTGAATATTTGTACCAGTTTCCCCTTTGAATTTTTACAAAATTTACTTTTCTAATTAGATATCTTTTTACTAAAAATGGAGCAATCTGTCTGATAATAGTTTTTAATAATGTTAAAAGAAAATATCTCGTTGATCAAGTAATTGAAAGAGACAAATAATTTAAGTCAACATTTTATCAGTTTCTATATCATTTCTTCCTTTCTCTCTTCTTATGATGATATCAATATATATGGCTAGAAATTTTGGAGATTTTTCATGCTTATTTATCAAATACATTAATGATTTACTGTATAAATTTTTGACCTCAGGTTCTTTTTCCAATTAATTTTATAAAATATCTTAAGTTTTTTCCATTAATCTTAGTATATTAGTGAAATAGAGTTCAGCTTCATCTAAAAATTAATTTAAATAAATACTTTTTTCATCTATTTATTATTAACTATCAACCGAATTATTAAAACTCTATCCTTTTTATTCAAAATACTTTGATATATGAATTATGCATTCCTCAATTTGAAATATATATTTGAATAAAAGTTTTAATTCATCGATCTAGTCATATTGTAACATATCAGCTAATCCTGTGGGGGAATCAACTAATCTGGCTGCTTGATTACTGACTAGTATCATTTTTAATTCTTGAATTAATGCTTAATAACTATTTGGATAGCATTCCAAACACATATCCATTTCTAATTTGAAGATTGAATTTGCCCAATTTATAAACTCGATAGTAGTTAAGTTTAATTTATCATCTATTTCATTCTTATAATATTTTTAAGTCTAAAGATAGAAACAAATTTACTTCTAATAAAAAATGAGATTAAAATTATTCTTCGTAGAATATTAATGCATCCTTTTTATTTTTGCAAATATAATCATATATTCCAGATTCTCGCATATACCTCAATTCAACTGTTTTAGAACCCATGATAGAATACATTTAGATGAGTTGTTTGATTTTTTTATTCAATAATATTCCCTTCTTTCTTGTTTCCTATATAAACTATAAAATTGTATTCAGAATCAGCTTATTGCATTTATCAAAATATTCCTCTTTAAATAATTTTAAAGACACGTTAAAAATAGTTTTCCCATGACATGGCATAATAAAATGATCCAAATAAAAGAACATTTTATAAAGCCAATATGAATAAGCTTTGTAATCATGATATGTTTTTGTAACAATAAAGAGTACCTTGAATATAATTTAGATATTTATACACTTTCTTTTTCCCATTTCAATTCATTAACTTATTAATAAATTTCATTGATGAATTCTTTCAAAAGATCTTCAAAATATATTATCAATTATAAATCAACATTATTAAAGTTATTATGTTTATTAAGGTTATTAGGACTTCGAGTATTGGCTTAACTACTTAAATCATATATTTTGCTTAGCTTTAAATATGAAAGTTACCTATAAATAGACATAATTTCTGAGTTAGAAATTGTTATGGCAGTTTCTTCTTTAAAAGCTTTTTTTAATTTGTTTTTTGCTTCTTGACATTGTTATTTGATTTGCTCAAATTGTTATTGGTAATAGTTATTTATTTCTAAAGTGCCAGTGATTTAATTATTCATAAATATTTTAATAATAGAATTAGATATAAATTTATCACTCCTAAACTCAATTAGTTTATGAGCTATTATAATTAAATTTATAATTTGTACAACTTCATATTTCCATCTCCAAAAATCAGCTCATTTCATAAAAATATGGATGAAGGAACACACAAACTCTAAAAATAACAGTTCCTATTATTACAAAAAGAGACTGAAATTTATTGTTAATCCTCTTTTAAATCTACTACCAATTCAACTCAATCGATAAGAAGGTCAATAGGAATTCAGCAGAATTTTGATTCATTATTCATAAATAGAATGGAAAGTTTATGAATATATTATCAATCATTGTTTTTTAGCATTATAATTCTACAGTAATTCTATTTGGAATTAAATTTTCCATAAGTTGTTCATAATTTAGTGATTGGCTAAAAATATTGGAAGCACATTAACAAAAAATATAAATAGTTTAAACTCAGGATTAGATGTTTGCTCTATCATTTATATATAAAAGTAAATGATATATTTTTATACTTATAATTCAAATTTGATTTCAAATTTTTGATAATAAAATAATTATAAAATTTATTAATCATCAAATTCTTTTTTTGGGTTATTTCAATTCGTTATTAAATTCATAACAATTGAAAATCTTAAAATATAAATATATTATCTTTAATTTCTCTAAAATATTCATATTTTTATTATATATTAATGAGATATGAGAGAAATTAAAATAGTTTTAATATTTAGTATTAAATATCAAATAAGAAGAATGTAAATACTATTTTTATTCTCAAAACTTAAAGTAAGCTTCAGCCTTTATTATATGAATAAAAGCAGCATCTGAATTTCCACCTCGGTTATAAATTCGAAAATATTTAACAAACTAATTTGGAAATTTTATAGTGACAACTTCAATATAGTAAGTGATTGAATCAAATATTTTTATTTCTTTGTTGGAATCTGATGCATAAACTATAAAATCATAGGTTCTAACATTTCCATTCCTCAACATCAGTTTTAATGTATTTAATTAAAAGACTTAGAGTAATTCTATAATTATTGACTTGCCTAAACTCATATATGTCCCTCGATTATTAGAATCGGCTGAATATATTTCATTTCTAAGAAGAATCCCCATCTCTTTTCCAACACCTACAAACAAATTTTATTTTCGACTAGTTAAGAGAGGACTTGCGTCATAATTGATCACATTTTTGTAATAGCCTCTCGTTAATGCTTTTATTTTATTATTTCTCTAACAATATCTGAAATTTCTCTGACATTAATTCAAACTTATTGCAAAAATGACTAGAATCACACAAAATTTAAGCATTGAGTACTTATATATTGTTATTGGATTTTCAATTAAAAATTTAAATCTTTGAAAATTTATTATGAAAAATTTGTCGTAAATTAAAAAATAATGTCTTTGACATAATAATAAAAATTCAACTCTTAAATGTTTTTTCAGTTATTGAAATTTTAAGAAAAATCTAAACTTCTAACAATTCTTAAAACTAATAAATAAATTTGATTTGAAATATATTATACTTAGTTAGAATATGAAAATTAATAAAATGCAAGGATATTCTATTTTGAATTAAAAACTCTTGTCATTTAAATTAATCAATCATATTGTTTTCATCAAAAAACAAAAAATTAATCCGACTCTTTTAAAATTCTTTATTCATATAATTAGAAGGATATTATTTTTGCTTAAAAATTTCAATAAATTTTCTATAAAAAAATTAAATTTTGTAAATGAAAGAGAAGTATTGATCATCTTAATTTTATTTAGATTTAGACAATCCCTCAACAAATGTATTATCTCCTTTTTTGAAGATTTTTTAGGATTTTTGAAAACTAAATTTATAATTCTACCATTAATGGATATATAATTTAACTGAAAATTTTCATTATTACCAAATGCTGATTTAAAATTATGATTTATTTAAGGCTTTTTCATAATTAAATTAATTTATATATATACATAATTGATTTAAAGAATATAAATGTATGATGCTGCCAATAATATAAGAAAATAATGGAATCTACTTAAAAATGAAGCTATTACAACTTGGAGTGTTATGAAAATAAAATATTACTTGAAAATAGGATTTCTTATTAAAAAAACTAAATTCTCCACAAAATTTAATCCATTATATATATATTATTAATGATAATTTTATCAATAAATTAAATATAATTCTATGATGGATAATTAATGCTCAAGAAATCACAATCTTCCTATCATCCAAATAATTCTAAATCCAAAACTAAAACCTTAAGATAGATATTTATGCTCTTAATGCATAGAAGAATAGTAACATTTTGGTACTGTGATTGGATACAAGAAAGCTTTAGAAATGGTGGACTTAAATAACTAAAAGTTGAATACAAAAATGAAATTAATGATTAATGATGAAATTTAAAAGCTGAATAATTGGAAGATTTAAATTGAAGAGGCTAAGAACTAGACTACAAATATATATAATTCTTTGATTTCTAGCATTGATGATTGGGTTGCTAATATTAAAGAATAAGAATTTTCAATAGAGAATAAGAAATTTTTAGATGTATTAGATGAGATGAGTGATAATGAGGAAAATTGGATCAAAAATAAAATATTCTAAATAGTTTCCTAAATGATATTAATTGATTCCTATACTCATAAAAGACTTTAGATTTAATTCAATTAATTGAATACAATTCTTAATAACTTTGCTATGAACAATTAATTTAATGAAATATTTTCTTAAAACATGAATATATTTTGGGATTCATACAAATCAACTGACCAATACCCTAAAAAACTATAAAATGTATTTATTTATAATTATTTAGAACTTTGAAAATGTTATTTGTAAATCCCATAATTTACCTGTCAGTTCATTAAATATTTAAAAAAATATTCCATTGGATTAACGAGTTAACTGTAGGAAATGTAAAGGTAAAGGTGAATCAATAGAGGAATTTATAAAAAACTTGGATTAGTACTTTGTAGATCAGAGTAAACAGTTATAATCTAATTCTCGTAAATTTAAAAAAGTAATTTAAAAAAATTGGCTAGATTTGATAAAAGAACTTTAATATTCATTTTTCTCATAATTAAATGAATTGACATTCTCACTTTTAAGTGAAGAATAAAAATTAATTATAGAGTTCATATGCCAATTATCAAAATAACATAGTTTTTAAATTAAAGATTTCTAAGATTTATGCTTAGTATTAAGTCAAAAGGATTAATCTATTATACAATTTCAAATAGGTAATTAATAGGGTAGAATACTTGAGTTTGTAAAAAATTTAATAACAAAATTATCGACTGAAATGAAAAAAATTAGAGAATAACATTTAAAAATTTAAAAAAAAAATAATTCATAATCAAAAGATATTGAAATGTAAATTTAAAGATAAGTATATTGGAAAGAATTGCCTTAAAATACTATGTGGTTTGATCTTAATACTAAACCAAATTGTGTATTAATTACTAAATTAGATTAATTACTGTTAAGAGGTATTAATAATTGTATTGAAATAAATTATTTTAAAAATTAAAACTTGAAGAAAATACTATGGTTACCAAAAAAACAATATGTAACTTGTTTTGTTGATTGTTAAGTCCAAAACTCATTTATAGTTGGCTATAATGATGGGAAATTGTAATATTGGACAATATTAAAGCCATAACTATAACTGAATATTTATAACAATATTGAATAATAGAATCAAAATTTATCAAATGTTCACTAAGAATCGCCACAATATCATAATCACACAGATAAAATTAATTTTATGATTTTTTAAAATGAAAATTAATATTAAAAATACCTATTCTCAGCAAGTTCTGATGGCTTAATAAATTATTGGGAATTGAAATTATATAATAATCGAATATATTTCCAATATTCGCTTAAGAAACACGAAAAATCAGTGATAGGATTAGCTTTAAATTAAAATTAATAAACTTTAGCATCATGTGGGGAAGATAACAAAATAATAATTTGGACTAAAAATTATTAGTAGAAAACTTAAGATTAATAAGATTGGTAGTTTAAATATATAATTAAGTAATCTATTGATAACTTTGGGAAAAAAATATCATTTTTAACTTAAGATATTCTCATTTTGGTATCAGAATATGTTCATGTTTTTTAATTAAAATAAGACCTATTTGTAGAGTAAAAATAAAAAAAGATCAAATTATTTCCAAGTGCAAATGATAATTTTGATTTTCCAATTTCCCATATTTAAAATGGTGTAGTATGTTTTGGTCATAGTTAACATGTGTATATAGTATCACTTTCTAAAAATCAGGAGATAAACCTGTCATCAGATCCAATAGGTAAAAATAAATCGAGTAGATTGGATCATTGTTGTGGAGCACTAAGTAGTGATAGTAAATCTATAGTAATTTGGACACCTTATTGTCAAATATATGAATTATTTTATTGAGAATATTCAAATAATTAATAACATTCATGATAACTAGTTTTAAGAGCAATTATGATTTTTATATTATAATATTTAAATAGTTATGACTGGTTATTTTAATTTTAAAATTAGATTGAAATCAAACAAATATCATATTGCAGATTTCAATTGTATTGAAAGGTTTCTTAAAGTTTAATGTGTTGTGAAAGATCTTAGAGCGGTATAGAGAGAAAATAATATCCTGAATAGAACATTCATGTAAAATTTGGACATATATAGTTCTGACCTAATTTTAATAATAATATTCATATATTGATATATCAATGCACTTATACTTTAAAAGATCTATATATTGGTCTATCATAGACATTACAATTATATTTTAAACTATATTTAATTGATCCACTCCTACCCCAATTAGATCCCCAAGAATTTTAGATTTCTATGTAATCTTTGTCTTCCTTATCATGAAAAGCAAGTGCCTTAACAATAATAGCATGGTGATTTGGTTTCTTATCTAAAAAGCAATCATATGTTCCATCCTTGTAGAATTGCCATCCACTAATATCAAAACCTGCTACAATAGGTCCATAGATAAGAGACTCCACTAAGGTAAATTTGTCATTTTAAATAGTTTCAAATTAAGTAATTGTAAATGTTTGTAATCCTCTTGTTCCTTTACATATATCTTATTTTCCAGTTTAAGGATAGTAATCTAATTCAGAAATATGTACTTCATTTGCATATTCAAGTGCATTAACTATATCATCCATTGATCTTGTTTCACAACCATAATTCCTATCTACACAATCTATAAATTATTATTGAGACAATTTTCTATAATATGCTGATCCAGATTAGATAATTAAATAACATTCCATAATTTCAGCTGTTGCAAATGCCCAACCTGCTCCACAGTTACCTTAATCCTTTGGCCACATACAATAATCACTCCAATCATAAAGATTCACTTTTTTTCCTGTATAATTTGTAAGTATTATATCAGAATTTATTTTTGAATCAGAAATTTCTTCCATATAATTTTTAGAAGCATATATTTCTAAGAATTCTTCATTAGTCAGATCCATAAACTAGTTTTCTCCTAAAGTATAGGAGTATTCATTATTAGAATTATGTTTTTGAATAATTTCAAAATTTTCATTATATACTTAAAATCTATATATTTCTTCATATTTAGATTAATAATTTTTGTTAAATTAAGTTTTCCAATCTTAAAATTTGTTTAATATCGTTTATGATGCTAAAATAGAACCTAATAAAATTAAAATTATGGTTGAACCCAAAATCATTTAATATAATTTATCAATTAAAAACACAATAATGTTAATAAAATCCAAATAATTAATTAAGAATCCAAATACATTATTAGTCAATTATGATTGTGAAACATAATAATTATTATTTTGAAATTTCTTAAAATCATTCTCATTAAAATATTTTGATTATCTTATAAATGCACTCATAATTAACATCTCCTAATCAACTTAAAATCCAAGACCAATATATTTGATCTATTTTTAACTTATTAATGAGTCTTTTATAATTATTTTTGATTTCTTATGTTTTTATTATTAAAATCATTAGATATTAAGGATTTAGATATTATCTATATTTTTCATATACTTATATGATAATAAGAATTCTGTTATTCAATCTAGCTCTATTATATTATTTTTTAATTTTGATAATTTTATCATAATAATTAAATATTATCAAATAACTTTTTTCTTTTTAAATTTATTTTTCAAAAACACTTTATAGACAACATAGAGAGCATATACGAGCCAAAGAGAAATTGCAGAACCTAATAAAAAAGGTTTAATTGAATGAGTGACAATGATTGGATCAGAAATAATTGGATCATTTGATTGTTCTTTTGCCCCCATGATGGATTCTTTTGATTCTATTTGTCCTCCATTTAGAAATGCAAATCCTAGTATAACTGAGAAGGCTGTTAAAGTAGCTAAATGACTATTTTTAGTAGTGTCTCTTTGTAATGTGGTTTCATTTTGATGAGGTTGAGATTGAATAATTAGATTTTACATAAATTCAACTTATTATTTTAGAACTACATTTTCAGCATGTAATTTTGCATTCAACATTTAAAGATTTTGATTTTCTTTTTTTATATCAAGTAGTTCTTATTCCATATCTTAAACATAATTCTTTTACCTTCCTCTAACTCTATTAGCAGATTCTCTATTTTAAAGTTTTCTTTGAATAATATTATAATATACTTTCTAATTTTCTTATATTATTCTGGATTATCTTCATATCTATATACAATATTATTTTCATAGATTGGTTCATAGTTTTTAGTAATATGTTTTTTCTTAATTTATACATTTTTTTAATGTGTATCATCAGATGACATGCCACTATCTCTACTACTAGTGAATTGATATTGATAGGATTGTTGGCAATTGTCTTCAAAGTCTATGTTAAAGAAATCATCTGTCATTTTAATATTAATTAATATTCCTAAATTTTCCTTGTCAGATTTATCAATTAATTTTGATTAAAATTTAATCATATTTTAAAATTCCGCGCTTAATGGAAAACAATTTAATTTGGTTAGAAAAATATCGCCCAAAAACTCTGGATGAAGTACATGGCAATTTAGATATTGTTGATAAACTAAGAGCAATAGCAAAAATGGGGAATTTACCTAATATTATATTGGTTGGTCCTCCAGGAATAGGGAAGACAAGTAGTGTTCTATGTTTAGCAAGATAAATATTGGGAGATTCAATAAAAGAAAGTGTACTTGAATTGAATGCATCAGATGATAGAGGTATTGAGACTGTAAGAGAATAAATAAAAGGATTTGCATAAAAGAAAGTAAATTTATAGGAAGGATAACATAAAATAGTAATATTAGATGAAGCAGATAATCTAACAGAAGGTGCATAATAAGCATTAAGAATGATTATAAGTGATTATTCAAATTCTACAAGATTTGTATTATCTTGTAATGATTCAACAAAATTGATTGATGCAATACAAAGTAGATGTTGTATATTGAGATTCAATAGATTGGGTGAGACTGAAATTAGGAATAGATTATTAGAGATAATAAAATAAGAGGGTGTTACATATACAAAAGATGGATTGGATGCATTAACATTTACAGCAGAAGGAGATATGAGATAGGCTATAAATAATTTATAAGCAACATTTACTGGATTTGGATTAGTCAATAGAGAAAATGTATTTAAGGTATGTGATGTACCTAATGTGGATGATTTAAAGAAGATTTTAGATTATATGATGAAAGGTGAATTTTAACCTGCTTAATCACTTATGAAATCTATTTTCGATGATGGTTATATGGCTTATGACATTACTAATACATTCAATAAAGTTATATAAAATCATAATGGAGACAGAGATCTTTAATTTGAATTCCTACGATAAATAGCCTTTCTTAAAGCTAGAATTTTAGAAGGATTACCAACATTTTTGTAGATGTCTGGATTCATTGCTAAATGTTGTAATATATCCAAAAGTTATCATAATAAATGATTCTATATATATTTATATTAAATTCCAATTTATTGAATTTCTTATTAATAAAAATTTGGCTGTTAGTCATGCAATAATTCTAAGTCTCTAAAAACAAACAAATAGGTAAAGTATTCCAGTATCTAAAATAGCTAATCCAACACAATTATACAATCAATTCTAAGTTCGTTCACCTTTCACTAATGTTGAGAATAAGAGTTTAGTGTAAAAGACAGCCAGTGATATGGAAATGGTCAATAAACCTGTGGCTCCAACAAAGCAATTGACACATTAATAAACACCAAATGCATCTGAGTATAAGATATAATTCAAGGTTGGAGGAGGAAGATAGCCACAAAAGGATGATTCCAATTAATTTAATTCATAAACTACTCCATTTATTCCCATGAGTCCATAATAAAGACATGAGAATACTTAGATTTTGCAATCTCCTTAAAATCGTCAACCATATTTGCTTTCTCCTTAACATTAACTTTAGTCTCCTTAAATTTAATTCTAATCTCCCAATAATAGAGATTAGAAATAATAACATTATTTTTCATAAGTACAAGGACAATAATAACCTAAACAAATTGCTCATTCATCTTCTTTTGTTTAACCAACATTAATGTAATAAAACTAATAAAAAATTGTTAATTATACCAATACATTTGCACTTTAAGAAGAATTAAAATGTTTACAATAATCAAGTGTTAAAATGACTTAAGAAATTTAGAAGTTGGAATCAGAAGCATAAAGAGTTTAATCAGCTTAATTAATAAAAGAATTGGATGATAAGATTAAATTACTAAATTAGATGAATAAATAATTGCAACTTGACAATACAGAATTAATGAAAGTACCTGATGTGATGGCACTTAGAGATCTTATAGTCAAATATTAAAATGATAGAAAGATGGCTTATAATTAATTGGCAATTATAAAAGCTGAAATTCAGAATTATAATGTACGTTGCTAAGATTTAGAAACAAAGATTAAGATTGATACTACATAAGAATTGAATGATTTGGTTTAAGATTTGGAAAATAAAGTGTAAACTTTAATTTTAGAGAATGACAGAATAAATTTATAATTGAAAAATTCAAATAATGTTGTTAATACAATATAGAAATAGAAACATGAAAATGATCTTGTAAAAGAGAAATTAATAAAAAGTAGAAAAGAAGAAGAAGCTTTAAAATAATCATATCAAAAAGAGGAAATGAAATTGAAATTATATGAGGAATGTAATGATAAATTGAAATTACTTTAAGATGAAAATAAAAGATTATAATAAATATTAAATGAATCAGAATTAACTTAAAATGATTTAAATAGTCTTTAAGAAAAAGTATAATAATTATAATAATATAATAGATATTAGTAATAAAATAAGATAACGAAAGAATGATGAAATAACTTAAGAATAGATAATGATTTAAATATTTATATATTATTGATAGATGTTATTGTTTCAATATATTTATATGTATTTTATGTACGATATACATATAATATATATATATATAATATAATTTAAGAATAAAGATGGATGATGCATATTCACGTTAAGCTTCTACTCCACCTGATCATAAGAGCAAGTTAGAATCAATGCGAAATGAAAACATGAACTTTGTTGAGTAATCTTAATTAGATAGTCTAGCTCAAACGATGTGATTGTGGAGTATTACAAAAATTAGTAGAAAAATTTATATTGGTTAGATAAGTGACTGGATTAGATAGATATTTTTTAGAGATTGAGTAATGGTTAGAAGAGGATAAAACATTACATACAAATACACCTTTAGTCTTAGAAGCAGATGATGGAATTGGAAAGAAAACGCTTTTGGTTAAATGGATGGAATATCATGCCAGAAACAAAAAAGGAGTAAGATCATTTTTAATAATAGCGATATCCTGATTTTATCATTCCTCATTTTGCAACTTAATCAGGAAAAAATAGCAATTATTATTATGCCATATATAGAATTTTAATTAAATTGAGAGAAGCTTTGAATATTAAATAAAAAGTGGAACTTTTAGAAGAGAAGTTAAGACGTTATTTTCAATATTGGTTAGAAATATGTAGTAGATAATTAGAACAATAAATAATCAATGGTGCAGAAATTATATATGATAAAGTATATTAATGTAATTATCTTAAAGGTTATACTGGTATTTGAGGGTATAGATAACTTTAGAGAGATCTTAGATATGCATAGAGAAGCTAATGTCAATTTTTGGTTACCTAAATACTTTCCTACTAATATTAAAGTTATTGTAACTGCTGAAAGACAATCATCATCTATGCGATTACTTAAACCAGATTGTTAAGTAATTCCTATTGTTTCTGATAAAGCATTTATGAAATAAATGGTCAATAATCATTTGGGAAAGAATTTATTTATTTAAGTAATAAATTTCTTATTTTTTTAGAAATTTGAACATATTTTAGATATATTCATTCAACTTAATTATAAAGTGAGAAATTAACCATTATTTGTAAGATCCTATTTTTCTGTTTTTGTACCCTATCCAACAGAAGGAGTTGTTGAAGAACATGAAATAGATACAATATTAATTGAAAATATTCTTAATTCCTTAAATCTTGATCACTTTAAATCAATGAAAGTTGTAGAAGATTTGATTCAATTCTAATTAGATTTTTTCTCTAATGCTTAATTAATTGATAAAGATAAATTTAGAAATGTACTCCTTGTTTTAGCTTTAACTTAAAAAGGTTTAACTTATCCAGAAATAGAATCTGTTTGTGATATATCATAATAAGATTGGAAAAGATTTCTTGTATTTTTTAAGGTTTACATAATGAAACATAGAGATTTATGGTCAATACATAATGAAATATTTAAAAAAGTGGTTATCAATCAATATTATAAGAATGTATAAAGTATTTTAGAATTACATGATAAAATTGCAACAGCTATTGATAAAATCACTCCTAATTCTATTCGAAAATTAGAAGAATAAACATTTTAATTATTCAGTGCAAGAAATTACTTTGCCTTAAAAGAAGTTATTAGTATTATTGAGAACTTTTTACTCTTGTTTAATCCTTCTAATAAATATGATTTATGTAGATATTGGCAATCTTTAGAGGAAAATGGATTTGATCCAGTTTTAGAATATAATAAAGCTGTTGAAGGTTTTCAAATCCATTATCATCCAAATGCAGAAGATATGTTTAGAATTATTATTCAAATATCTAGATTTCTAAAAGAATTTGGTGATTTTGAAACTAAAAATACACCAGTCTTTAGACATCCTCCAATTATTGGTTTGTTAAGTGATCTATATGATATTGGATTATTGTATGAGATATTGAAATTAGATTTATATTATGATAAAGCTCCAGAATTAAAAGAATTTGATCCAAATAAACATTTAAAACGTGTAGCTAAACCATAATTAGCTCCAGTATTATCTAAATAAGAATCTTTAAATGTTGAAATTGCCTAAAATAGAGCAGAAATTAGGTCTCACTATTTAAAATAATTATGCAAACCAATTGAACCAACAGATAATGAAGAAGAAGTGCCTTAATCTGTAGATTAATTGGCTGAAGAAAATGATTAAAAATTAAAAAAACTATTGTAAACTAAAGAAGAAAACTTATCAGAAGATCTTTTATCAAGTAATGAAAGGGAATCAACTGATTATTATTATAAGAGATGGATATGGATTTAATTTCCTTGGGCTTGTATGAGTATTAGTAAAAAATGTGATTATTCAACTGTTATTAAGTAATGTTTTTCATCAGCTACTGATTATATGAGTGTTGAAGATGAAAATGCATTTACTGAATCTGCACTTAAAATAGCACTTGAAGCAAAAAGAAAATAAAAAGAAATGTATGAATAAAAACATCATGAAGAAATTAAATTATAAATAATTCCTTAGATTTCTGTTTTATAATAAAAAAATACAGATGAAGTAATGAAAAAATAAAAAAGAGAATAATTAGAAATTAGTTCGATATCTAGTGCAAGATTTGATAGATCTACAATTTCTGTATTGCCTCCATTATCAACTAGAAATTCATAAATAAAGTAGACTAATTCTCCAGAACCAAATTATTCTCATTTAATGTTTATAACATCTGATTTTACTGATTCCAATCATTTAAATGATGAATCAAAATCAATTAAGTTAACTTAGAGTAGTTTACCTAATGATGGTAAATAAACCATGTAATTACTTGATTCAATTAAACCTAAAAAGGAAAGACTCAAATAATTTTCGACCTCTTCTGTTCAACATAATGCTTATAAAGTTACAGAGATATTTCCAATTATTAAAGGTACTATATAAAGTCATTCTAATTAACAATTGAATTTATTAAATGGACAATTAAGAATGATGAAAGGGAAATTGGATTAGATTAGTTATGAAAATTTATAGTTGGCTAAAACTTATAAACTTTTAAAAATCATGGATTTTAATAAGGGATACTTGGTTAGAGAAATGAATAGTTTGGATGGATTAAAATAAACCTAAGAAATCTTGAAAAAATAAACAGAGATTGCTGAAAAAGATTTAAAGAGAAGTTATAAAATGAAAACAAGAGTTAAGAAAATACTTAAAATTTGTAAAGATAATAAATAATAAAATGAAGAATATATTAGAAATTTAAATTACTTAACTAGAAATTTTATAAAATTAATCAAATTTGAAGAACAAGAAATTAAAAAAAATAAACTTAATATTAAATTTGCTAAAAAATAATTTGAAGAATTTTTAAGAGTATATAGAGAAAAAAGAAACCATTAAAGAAATTTAATTCATTAAATCAAGGATAGTCTATAATATAAAAAACATCTAGATAAGTTATTTTAAGAAGGAGATAATAAAATAACAGAAAGGGCTAATTAATCCATTAAAAAATTAAGAAAGAAGTTAGCTAAAAAGGAAGATGATTCAAAGAATTAAAAAAATAAAGAAATTTAAGAAATAGAAGAAAAACACCTCAGAGAAAAATTATAGTAATATGAAACTGCATATGAAAAGATTCAAGGAGGACTCTTTGATATTAAAAAAGAAAATTATAATTAGACTAATTAGTTCATTGATTTTATGGCTTAAAAAGATAGAAAAAGTGAATATGAAATTAAATTATCTGAAAGAAGACAGAAGTATACAGAAATCAAAGAATAAGAAACTAAATTAAATGAACAATTACATTCTTATTAAAATGCTTATTTATCTCTTAATATTCCATAATAATAAGAGACAAAAACTGAAGGTATAAGTTAACCATTATTATTAATAGATTTAAATGCTAATAAGAAATAGTCAACTAATTTATAATTACAAGAATAATATTTAAAGAAATTAATATTATTATAAGCTAGATTAGCTAGTTCATTAGAATAAATTAATGAAAAATGTAAAATTAAAAAAGACGAGTTTTCAGTAATATTGTTTTCATTCTTTTATAGTTAATAGAAGAATTAAAGCATAAAAAGCAATTGATAATACAAAATGAAGGGCAAGAATCATATAACAAAATTCTTAAGGATAATTATGATACTGATTCCATATTAAAACAAAGTGCCCCCTTTTATTTCCCTAAAAGATATGCAACTAATAGCAGTAGTAGATAACCAAGCTAGGAATGAATTTAATAATTTAAAAATAACATTAATAGAAAATATGTAATTTTTGAATCTCTATTTTACTACTCTATCAATTATAAACCTTTAATATTATATTATCTACTCTAAACTTGATTGAATAAATATTTAATTTGGTTAAATTCTTGTGAGGGTTACTATAGTTATTTGATTCATATTTAATAGTCTATTCAACAAATAATCAATGATATCCGAAGTATTATCAAATTCTGTTTTAGCAACATTTTTAAATAAGATAATTTTAATTTTCTCTTAATTACTTTCAATCATTAAGTTCATATTTTTAAGATTTTATCTATAAATATCAGCTTTTTAATGGTTGAAGGATAAGTTGAATTGATTTTATCAGGCAATTATAATTTTACATTTATTAAAAATAGATAAATAATTACTATTTATTGTAATTGATTTACATAAAAACCCAGTTAAATTAACTGTTGTAATTTTTGAATTATTATATTTTTCCTAGATTATCTATAGGTCAGTTAAATAATTGAAAAGAAAACTTATTTAAAATAATCTTATTATCTATTTAGATTTAATGATAATAATTTATACTGGAGTATTAATTTTATTTTACTTATATAGAATTTTAATTAAGACACATTTAATTTTTAAAGACCCCTATATATTTTTGTAAAAAGGTTGCAATTTATCTTGATAGATTTTAACAATTTTTATTGTCCAGCGTCCAGCATTATAGATAAAAGAGTTGTTTAAAATATTGGGGAATTGCTTAACAATAAAAATATGTGTAAATCATGAAAGTTAAGATAAAGTATTTAACTAATAATATACAAAATACAAGATCTTAGATATAAAGATTATTGAATATTTGATTCTCAAGTATACCAAAGATATATTCAATATAACAAATCAAATACTTTTCATTTATTGGATAAATAATCTTTATGTTTTTTTAATGATAATATTTATATGATTAAAATAAATAATGAACTAGATTTTTTAATTAAATTTACTTCAAATTTCTATCTTGACATGATTTTTAATGAATAAAAAGTATTTAATAATTAATTATGGCAGGAGTATTTGTAGATCATCGAAAATTTATTGTTATCAATTCTTTAGTTTAAATGTAAGTACCTAGTAATTTAAAATCTCCAATGTATGCACTAATTATTGAGATTTCATGAAAGATAGGATGTATTTGTTCAAGTCTTTATTTATTTGATTTAAGAGTGACAATAATATTAATTGAACATAAGAATTCTATTGAAGATGTCTATTTGATTTTGATCATTATTGTAATAATTCGTATTTGAAATAATAATACATATTTATATTAAGTTATCAAATCTTTAAAATGAGCACCAATATGTTTAATGTCCTCAACATATCAGATGATGAGGATTCTAAAACTCAATAGACATAATAGAAAACACAATAATAACAAGCTAAAAAGAGTAAGTGTGTTCTTTCATAATTTATTAGATAAATAAAAGCGTGAGTAGGAATAAGTGATTCCTGTTGAATAAGTTAAGAAAGAAAGCACTTAACATCATAATCCAGCTCCAAAATAAAAGGGATTAACAGCTGATCCTCATCCAAAGGACAGACACTCTGGAACAGGAATAGGAAAAGAACTTCGTAAAGAAGGTGGTGGTCGAAGAAATTGGGGAAATTATAAGGACGATTTAAAGTAGGAGAAATACTAAGGTGCAATTGAGGGAAAGGAAGCACCATAAGAATAAAATACTGAATAATAAGGCGAAGAATAATAGCCATAAGAAAATGTACCTCAAGCACCAGCAGAGAAGACATTAGCAGATTATTATTAAGCAAGAGGAGTGGTAAAGAATGATTTATAATAATTAAAATAGAATGTGGAGGAAGTCCTAAAAAATTAGAAATAGAAAGTATAACCAGTAGTAAAGATTGATGAGGAGGCATTGAGAAAGGAGAAATTATAGGTGATGAGAACAAGAGAAGATGAGAAGAGAGAGAAGGAATAGAAGGCAATAAAGAAATCAAGTGGTTAGTAATAATAGGGATATAGAAGTGAAATGAATACAGAGGGATAGTAATATTTTGGATTTACAAATGATACAAGAAGAAATGATAGGAATGAAAAGAATGATAGGAATGATAGAAAAGATAATAATAATTATAATAAAGGATAAAAGAAATAAGTACTTATTATTTATTATTTAATTTATTTAGTAATAACCAAATAATGGAGTTCAATTTGATGATAAGGATTTCCCATCATTATGAATTGATAATTCCAAACAGATAAAAAAGTGAGAAATTTTTTATATATAGTACATATATCAATTATAATTTTCACTCTCTTCTCATCAATGATTATACTTCACTTAATTTATTAGAGACAGGCAATCTAAGATTCATTTCTGATTTACTATGTCTCATCACCTCTTATCTAGTAGTAGTTTAGGTTGATTTAAAAATATCATCCATTTTTGAATTAAAACTTCTCACAGTTTATGGTCTCATTGGATGGACATATTTAGAAACTTAATTAAACATAGGTCCTATTTCAATATTACGTCTTCTTTTATTATCTCTAGAACCTAAACTCATTTATCTCATTTTGTAAAATGCACTACTTTTAATTTTAGAAGCAGATGCTCCTCTTGAAATGAATAATGAAACTGGAAATTAAATTTATCTAGAAGTAGTTGTTGTTGCATCTTCTACTTAAATATCTGTTTTTTATTTTGATACATGAGTTGGAATTCGACTATATTGTAATTGTTTTTCTGATTCTTAATCTTATTCTAAATAATCATCTTTCTTTCTATGTATTTTTTGTAAGTAATCAATAACATTAATAAATGGTGTTTCAATATTTCGTGGAGAACGTAATTATTGAATCTAATTTAAGATTTGCATTGAGAACTTCTTACCTGTCATTTTTTATTTGAGTTATCGATGCTTACAATTTTGACATAGATCTGACATAATTTTATATTTATATTTGTTTATATTATTAATATATATATATTTATATAAATCTCACTAAAAGTAAGAATATAACATAAATTACAATCCAAATAGATCATGTCAGTTATGAAATATTGATGTTCTATTAAAAGTAAAAGTATTTAGAAGATCCTTTATTTCATAGATTGAGCAAATCAAATTATTTTTGAATAAATTGATATATTTAACTCATCTTTAAGTTTTATTATATTAATTATTAGTCATTTCTGTTTCATTAATATTTTATTTAAATTTGTATAAGTAGTATTATTAAAAATAAATATGTAAAAGAAGCAATATCATTATTTGAAATGGATTGAAATTCAATTCAATAAATTTAAAATTATTTGATTTCATACATATAATAATGAACATCTATTAATTATAGATAGATTAAATGATAATTATTTTTCAACATATATTATATAGATATAATTTGGATCTATCAATAATTTAAACTCTTCTTATATATATGATGTTTTTATATAAATCAATTATAAGATAACATTACTTAAGCTTAATTATTTTATCCATTATGGAATAATTTTAAGTAATTAAATTACTATACAATATATTAATAATTTCAATATATAAAAATAATTGGTAAATATAATAATAATTTACAAAATAAATTCTACCTTTGTAATTTTGATTTTATGTATTGAATAATCTATTCTATTTTAAATTTCTAGTATAAAGGATGATAATATGGTTGAATAAAATCAATTAGACAAATGTCTTTTTAGTGGTATAATAATTAATTATTAGTGTTTCTGAAAATAATTGATTTGTTTTATCTTCATATATAATTATATATTGATATATTAATATGGATTTCACTCGCAAGCAAATTTAAAATCAAAGGATGTCACACAGATTTGGAATGCTTGAAGAGGTGATAATGGAAAGCAGAAGTCAACATTGAATTAGAGATCATTGACTCTTCCAAATTAGAGATAAATGAATTAATGATTTTCAGGATTGACTAATTGGAAATTTTTGACTGAAGGTTGATCTACTCTTCCATAAAAATTTAGAACATGTGCTTTCATTTTTGTATCCCATCTAGGAGGTTTATTTACAAATTCCTCAATGAATTCACGTTTATTATATTGATAATCATATTGTATGCCTTCTTTACTATGAAGAGGTTAGAATATTTTAGGGATATTCATTTCACCAACTTTAGGTATTAAGACTTTCATCTTTCTAGGACATTTATTTTACATGATATGACTTTCATAAAAAACAACTCCTAATTAATTTCTAATTTGACTAGTATCTTTGCATTTCTTAAAATTCTTTCCTTCATCCCATAATATGAATTCTGTTCCAAGGAAATTAGATCTGACTTTACCCAAGAAACATGGTTTTCTGGTTGAAAATTCTTTTTTATCCATAGAAATCACATAATTTGAAGTAGTGTTCATAACTACTTTCTTAGCACTAAATAAGTAGATATTTCCATCAGTTGTATAGACATGATAAACTGGATAGAGTCTAGCAAGACCACTCTTATCTCTTTAAATTTAACATTATAATGTTCTATCCTATTTTAATGGAGTTGTGAGAAATGCTCTTCCTTTATCTTATCCATTCATTTATTCTTATACATATGTAATTTCTAATTTAGGAGGGAATGGATTAGCAGAAACTTATCTTTGAGTATTTGATGATTGTGAAGGTTATTATTATAACTAAGATTCTTATAGTTAAGATTGTTGCTGATTATTTTCAATTCTTTGTTATTAGAAAATTGTTGGTTAAACTTACTAATTTATATCTTCTGCATCAACTTATTCTCCTAATTCTGATTAGAAATTGACTATTGATTAATTATCTATATCTCTTTCAGCAGAATTTTTGGATGATTCTTCAGATTGATGTTCATTTCTTTATTAAATTTATTCAAATTAATTATCCTAATATTGTGATTATTATTCTTGTTGTTATTATTATATTTTCATTTATAATGCTGATGTTTAAGGTCTATTCAATCTAAGAGTATTCAAATCCTATTCTTATTAATTAATTTATTGCATCCCTGGTTCATGAATAATTTCTTCATCTTCTGATTCTTTTCTAAATTTCATTGGTTGTTGTTTAACATTCTTTTAATTCTAATAATTATTTTGTTAATTATCATCTTCTTCAAATTATATGATACCATCTTCTTCACTATTCTTTCTATTCATATAGATATATTTAAATTTATTATTTTTATTATTATTTTTAATTCAAAAATGGAAATACACATCTCCTTCTCTTTTTTGAGAATGTCTCATAAATATTCTCTTAAAACTAATGAAAGTTACAAAATTTTTTGTTTATTAAAATTAAATTATACTTCACATGAATAAATAATCAACCTTTGGTAAGGCTGATCGTTTTCCTAAACTTCAAATTTATTCTGAAAACTTTGTAATTGGAGAACCCAATCAAAATTAGTAAATTAAATTTTGTGGACCTACCTTCCCCAAAAGTTAACGACTAATTTTTGGACATCATATTCAAACTCCAGGTCCAGGAAATTACAATATTACAGATGTTAAATCCATTAAACAATAAGCAGAAAAACTTTATAGAGTTAATAGAGAGTTTATGGATTACATGAAATCAAGACCTCGTTCTGTATAAAGAAACAATCCTGGACCTGGAACATATGAATTAGGATCAACTCTCAGAAGCAGAGGGATTTCATTTACAAAAGCTAGAATTAGCAGTTTTCACATCTAACAATCTCCTGGACCTGGTTAATATACAATTAGTAGGCCAATTTCTAGAGTCTAATGATTATAATTTTATCATGGATAATTTTTTTATTGAAGGCAAAAATGATGATACTTACTCATTAAGAAAGCTATTGAAATATTATGCATATCTATTTGTCACTTCCATGTTTGTGAGTTTCTTGGGATCCATCATTTATATAGTACTACTTATAGAATTATACACAACATGCAATGCTTAAACAGGATAACAAGTGGCAATCACTTAATTAATTTCTTATATTTTGAATGGAGTGTTTTCATATGCATGTTTACATTTGGTCTCACAATCCAAGACCATATGTTATGTTAATTTTTCTGTCATTTTGACATTAATCTCAAAAGTAATAGCTTTAGTATTTGCTGCAATTCTGAAGAATAGAAATTGGGGTGAATGTTACATAACTCAAGCATAAGGAGTGATGCTTATAACCAATATCAGTATTGAATTTTGCATATTACTTGTCCTATATTACTTCACTCGCAACTTGTATTTCAGATTAGAAGAAAAACAATTGAGAGTCTCCTTGAAATTGTTATTTGAATCATGAGATCCCCCCCTATATATATAAATGATAAACATAAATATAATTTAATCAAACAACCCTAACAAAAGTCCATCCTACTATTCTATTTAATTTATAATTTTCGTCTGTGTAATCGGTATCTCCTAAATTCTACATAACCTCAATCTATAATTTACATGAGTATAATTCTTAACAACGTTAGCCAAGTTCTCTTAAGTTAAACCAAAATTCACTTTTTCCTAAGGATTATCCCAATCCAACCATTCGTGTTATTTAATAATACTCCAATTGACTTAGGATGGAATCTTACATCCAATCCTCTTATTGGCCTCCTTCTACAATAAACTCTATAATAAAGATTGACATGGTTTGCTCAACCGAGTTGGGATCTCTAAATTATCATTTCTGATATTATTATATAAAGTATCCAAATCCTCACTAAAATATGGAGGTTCTCCAATAAGTAACTCATACAATACTGTTCCTATTCCATAAACATCTGTTGCTTGTACTGCTCCCTTCTATGAAAGTACTTCTGGAGCAAGATAAGCAGGAGAACCACAAAATGTTCTAGCCTTTCCAATTTCAGTTTGTTTAGAAAGTCCAAAATCAACTAATTTAATTTTACTATCATTGTCTATGAGAACATTTTCAGGTTTTAAATCTCTATAAATGATATCTTTGCTATGTAAATATTCTACTGCCTTCATCAATTACCTAATAATGATCTTACATGTAGCTTCATTAAAAGTCTTGTGTTTATACAGATGAAATGATAAATCACCTCCACCACAATAATCCATCACTAGATAGAGATTATTGAGGGTTTAAAAAGATTGAAATAAATTTACAATGTAAGGTGAATCTACTTATTTTAAAATATCGCATTCAGTAACTGCAAATTTCACTTATTTCTTTTACAACAATTTTCTCTTGTTTAATTATTTCATAGCATAAACTTAATTAGTTGGATTATACTTTACTAAAAATACTTTACCAAATGCTCCTTATCCAATCTGTTTGATAATAGTATAATTTATTAAGTATTGTTTGTATTACTCATTTCCATGATTTCCTTCTACTGGAGAATGATTCTTGACAGCAGATTATTATTGTTGTTATTATTATTATTGTTATTATTATTATTATTATTATTATTATTATTACAATTATTATAATTGATCTTAAACTTATTAAGCTTCCACTTTCAAATTTTATGCAGCTTAATCATTCAATGATTAGCATCGAGAATCTGCTATTATGTTAAATTATCCACCACCATTTCCTATGTATTGATTCAATGCCATTATGTCTCCTTATATTGATAATTAAGCTATCTTCCTTTCAGTTTCTTTGTAATACAAAATTGAGTCTTCAAGGCTCTTCTTCCAACTCAATATAGTACTTTTACTTTTTGAACAAAACAACAATATCTCAACTCCACTCTTTTTAAAAGAAACCTAAAATACTAAAACCAATTTTAATTACACTCAAGTATTCGTGATCACTCTTCATATACCATTCCCTCTTTGGATTCCAAACTGTAACTATGTTTGATAATGCAATCGTCTCTATTGGATTAAGTGGACAGTCACTTTCAGTTTTATATCTACAAAGAGTACCTGCCTCTGGATCTAATGTTAAGTAACGCTTATAATGAAAAAACTTCATCACATTTACTTTTTTGATGTATCCCTTTTAAGCTTTTGGTTTAACTACTTCTTGTGCCTTGTTCAATTTCTATTAACAATGGTAGGTCACTAATTAAGTAGCATGTTAATCTCCTTTGATTTCACTCAAATCTACTGCCTGAGGATCAAATTAAGGGTGTTTGAGAATGAGTTCTACTATATCCAATTCACCTTTTTAAACTGCCAATTGTAAGGCACTTTTGCCTTAAGCACAATAATTCACATCGCAGACTTATTTGCTAAGAAGAATTTTAGCACATTCAATTTTCGAGTTTTTTAAAGCTAATTGAAGAGGGGATTGTCTATCTTTGGTACAGAAATTAATATCAGCCCCTTCCTCAAGAAGATAGACAACCAGTTCTTCATGACCATATTGGTTAGCATAGTGGAATCCACTAAATCCACAATATTATCTGTCGTTAATAATATCGAAAGATGGACTTTTATGATTACTAACCATTGCCTTAACTGCAGGGATGTCATTGCACTTGACTAGCTGATAAAATGATAAATAATACTAACCTTGATGAATTCAGAAGCAATTTCCATTTAGGATTTTAGCATTCCTACAGATTTCTTTCGACTCTCATCTTCTTCTTCCGAATCTTCATGAACAATCCCCAATTTCTCATATCCTTTCATACGATTGTAGCCTTTTTGAACTTCTAAAACCTCTGTTTCAGGAGCTTCTTCTTCAACTGCTTGATTTTCTCTATTCACATAAATGAATTGGCAATCTTCTGGGTTGTAACTGAAAAGATGCCGATCATCTTCAAGTGTGTGTTCATTTAGGATCAATGTCTGATCTTCTTCTCGAATATCAGTAAGTTGGGCGATCTGTTATTTCAATTGAGCCACTTTGATGTTTGGACTTACGGTACACGTTTTGGTACTCATGTTACCCCATTAGGAACAATAACGAATGATGATTTTCATTATCTAATGTAGAATAATACAAATATTATTATGAATGATGTTTTTAATACTGTAATGTACAAACATTATAATATATATATATTTAGATCAAATTAATTACTTCTTAGCTAAATAATCCATCCACTTTTGTTTAATGCTTTGAGCATAGATGGAAGGCAAATTTCGCTAAAGAGCTTACTATAATATGTCTCCTTCGCCTAGTTTGTCAGCTTCTTAAAGAGCTTTTTGTAGAACAAAGGTTCCAAATTTATTTTTCATCAATTCCAAACAAATGATATCTTATGATAATTGTTTAATGAATCGTTTTTAAGTTTTTGCAGAAGTTTCCAATATACATTTCTCCACAACATTTGAAGAATATTTATGGATTGATAATTGTACTAATTTCTACAAAATTTTATCTATAATTGGTGTGCATTTCTAATCTCCATATACCTTTATATATAGATATAATATAATTACATCAATAACATGTTATACACCATAATTACCAAATGGATCTTATACTATATCATCTAATTGATCACGCATTTTAATTAAAATTAAGTTGCATTTCTCTTGATTATTTTTTAATTTAGTAATGAGATCCTTCAAAACACAAAGTCCAAATTGATGATTGACAACTTAAATGAATCTCTCCATTAATTTGCAAAATATCAAATTTAAACGATCTTCTGAGAATCTAGCAATGATCTTTTTTATTAAATGTGTTCCTTGACTATCTAAAGTGAGATAAATGATATGATTTTTAATGCTATTTTCAACCATTTCTTCTTCTTATTTAGATGATATCAAAGAAACCAAAGATTAAATAGCATGAGTACCCTTTTTATCACATGCAATATCCACTAAATGATTAGAAATCTAAAAAATATATATTAATAAAATGTTACTGTTTGTAAAATATATAATCTTTAATGAGGAGCACAACTTTAACTTAAACTACCAAACATATAATTGGCATAAGGATCAATCATTAAATCTCCTATATGTGGACCTATTTCTTGTAATAATTGATCTAATTCTATTTGTGTACAAGTAGTAAAATGTTTCTATATAAGACGACTGCCATGTTATGTCTTAACAAAATTGACTATATTGCCACGTATTTATTCAAAACTTTACAAATCTTCTGTCCATTCATCTGGTTGTGTTTATTCTTCCAATTGGAATGATTAAAAACGAACTCTTTGTTAAGTAGGACCAATTTGAGGTGTAAAATTACGTGTTTTAGGTGAAAATAGAAATGAATCAACTACAGGACAGGATTTAGGTGATTATTTAGTTAAATATTTTGCAATGTCTGGAGACAAGTTGATTTGTAGTGATTTTAAACACAATAATGGTTGATTATTTTCATCTTCTCTTTACATTGATATGCATATGCCATCATATCCAATGCAAATGTAATCACTTGAAACTTTGCTTGCATTATAGTAGAATTCATAATTATGAACATTCTTTTATTCTTGCATTAGATTACTATCCATTATGTGAACATCAATTTAAATACGACCTTGCATCAATGGTACATGGTGTTTTTATCTTACTCCAAAGTACTCTCTGATATTTGCATAATCTATCAAGATGGAAGTATTTTTCTTCTATTTGAGAGTTGTGGAATGAGTTAGATTGAGGTAGGGTTATTGTGCAATAGTGTGATATACTCTGAATTCCACAAAGACTTTGACATTTAGATCTAATAGGTCATAGTCTACTGGCACTCGTTCCATTATTTGAGCATGCTAGATTTAATCTGTTAAAAGAGCAAGTTAAGCTGTTTTATGTTTACAAGTGTGGGCACATTAAGTATGGACATCAAAGTACTGGGAAAGTAGATTGGAGTACAATTGAGTATGACCTAATTGAACATTTTGATAACAAAGTGGGCAGATTGAATTTTCATTTTGGCTCTTTCCTATTATCTCGTAATCCTCGTCCACTACTAAAAACATACACACAACTCAACTACTTAAGGATTCTTCTAATGTGCTACTACACTTTCGGGAGTCTTACTCACTATAACAATCATTTAAAAACTTACTTGGTATATTTAGAGAAGATTTCTTTGAATTCATTCGGAACAGGGTCATCCCATCCGAATAATGGGTAGATGTCTTCAGTCATATTATAAACTTCTTGTATTTTAAAATAATAAATTCCTGAGGAAAGATTGTAAAATTTAATTGGACCATTTTCTTAATGCGTCATATGAGATATTAAATTGCTCTAATTATATTTCTAGAATATCTTAATTATTAAATAATTGATACTTCATAAGTAATTCAATTAACTATTCAATTCAGAATTTATAAACTATTTCAAATAAAGGTTTACAATTAATTAATACTTTATATAAAGTGTAGTGTAGTTTATTTATTTTGATTAAATTATTTTAATATATATATATATAATGTTGTTGAAATTTATGCAAATATTAGAAAGCTTAATCATCAAACTTATTTAAAAGAATCAAAATAAAATAGTAGAGAGGAATATGGAGAGCAGAATTTTAATGTATAATCAAAAAGTTATACTAAATTACTATTCAATCATGATAAAGAAGGTTGACAAAAGTTGAATCTGAAAATATTGATAACAAAGAACTAAATAACAAAAAATATTTAACTCTACTTAAGAATAAGAATAATTAAATGAATAACTTATAATCTTAGAATTAAAATAATAAGACATTACTTAATAATATGGGAAATTAGAAAGAAATTCAGTCTAAAATCAATAAAATAATAGACAATTCTTTGAATTTTAGTTGATAAAAACAATTTCAATCTAATAAAAATTACATAACTAAATGATTTTTAAAGATAAAGAAATGCATCAAAATCAAATAGTATTAACTGAAATTGCATCAAGAATATTTATATATAAAATCTAAATCAATTTAAATCTGTGGACATAAAAAATATATACTATCAGACTCATATCTTTATCAAAAAGAATATTAACTTAATGAACTAAAAGAACATTTAATTTTAATAAACAAAACAAAAACCTAAAAATAATTCTTAGCAACAAACCAATGAATCTGATAATAAAGAATATGATTAGAAAATAATTTAAAATAAGGAGCTTCATGAAAAATTAATATGAAATTAAGAGGATAATAAGGATGAAATATTTTTTTTAATATTTTCTATTATAAATGTATTAAAAAATATCTATATTTATTAAATCTTGGACATTATTAATAATTTAATCATATTCTATTAAAATATGTAATAGAAATAGTATTTTTAATTATTAATTCAATTACTATTTTTTTTTGTTTTTAGAATAAATATTTAATGTCTACAAGTACAGTGTACAATGGGTCAAATAGTCATATACCAAACGGAGGAAAGCAAATCTAAATGGAAGTTAGTTCAGATTAAGTCATATTTATAGCAAATGTTAATAGACATTTGATGAACATCATCAAGACAGACTTCATATTTCATTAAGCTTTATTGGTAGTTACTTCAAATATAGATAATGAGAGGATAAGTCGTGATAAGAAATATCATCTTGTTGAATATGAGGATGATAGTATAGTTAAGGGTTATTAAATTAATATAAGAATAATAAAAAATCCAAAGTACTTGAACGAATTGACTAATTTTTAAGATGAATAATATGTATGGGAAAAAATGTCAATAAAGTAATAGTTTGATATTGATACATTAAATATCACTGTAAATAATATTATGTAGAGAATGTAAGATGTTGCAAATTAAAATGGATTATATCGTACTTTGTCAAATAATTGTTAATCTGTAGCAAATTAATTAACTGAATAATTATTGTTAGAAAACATTTCAAGCAAAAATCTCATATTTTTAGCATTGGTTGAAAAAAAAGATGGTGATCATAAAGAAAGTGAATCATCACCTCATTCAGCCTTGTTTGTTGCTACCTAGAATTTTAATTATGGTTCATCTCGATCAAATTATTTATGTTACATTTTTGAATATCTAAATGATGGTAAAATTCATGCATATCAATTTTATCCTAAAAATTAAACAAATAACTTGATCAATTTGAATTAATTTGATAATGGAAAAAGTTATTGGGAAACTAAGACAAAAATTTATTATTTTTATATTAAGTAAACAGTATAAAACATTATTGATACAATGAAATAACAGATAAGTTTTTTTTTTAATAATAGCACTAATGTAGCAAAAGATGCCTTTGATAAAATAAATAAAATATAAGAAGATGAAAAAAAAAGATTAGAAGAGGAGAGAAGAAGGAGGGATGAATATGATGAAATTAAGAGCGTTTTATTTGCTACAGTGGCTCTTTTTATTATTTATAAGATTTTCTTTTGATTTGAATATCATATTCCATTTCCAATGATATTATTTAATTATTATGGAACGATTATCTATTTTTTTTAATACTCACCCACCATTGAAATTATTTCTAATAAACTCTAAATAAACTTAAATTTATATAAGTTATATTATAATCATAGTATTAAACTTTTATATTTTAGTTTAATTTATATCACTAATCTTTTTTTTATAAAGATATAGGAATTATCTTTGAAAATTAAGATATGAATAATATTATGTGATCTTGATTTTATATAATGTTAGTAAAGAAAATTACGAATTTACTATTGCAATTTGAATTCCAATAAAGATTAGTTAAAATATATCAGCAAATAGATTTAATATATGAACAATATTTTGTATAAATTTAAATTTGATGTTTGAAAATAAAAATTAGAATGATTTTATTCCTATTAAAGTTGAAATTTATAAATGATTTAACATTTAATTTCATTATAAGGTTAACATACTTAATATAGAATCTGATAATTTTAAAAGGTAAATATGAATGTTTAAATACACATAAAAATCTAAGGAAATAGTAATATAAAATTGTCTTGAAATTTAGCAAAATTCCTTGCTTTTATGTTGGGATTTAAAAAAAGAAAAAAAAATAATAATGATAACTAAATAATGAGGATTAACTTATTTCTGGAGGAAACACTAAGCCATACAATCTATATTCATTAGATAAAATATATAGTAGTAGTCGATTTGAATTTAAGTGTAAGGGCTCTTTATTAAGAGATCAAATATGATTCTAATAATGAGGTATGAAAAAATATTTTAAAATTTAAAGCTTTTCACTTGTAATTTAGGCTAATAGAAATTATCTTATTTAAGGAGGTTTGTGAATGACTTAGCCAACTTAGTTAATCGGATGGATCAGTATTTAATAAAGATATTAATTCTTTATGCATAATATTATCTAATTTTTATATTTTTATTTAAATTAATTATTAATGAAAAAAGTATATAATAATTATAAATTATATAAATTATTCAACTAATGAATTTGTAATATAAAATAAGTATATTTCCTATGGTTAATATGCAAATTAAGGAGAGGAGGATTCCTTTATTATAGGATTGACGATTTTTAATCATAGTGGCATGTCTTTAAGTCATTTTGACTCCAACTTGGATTTCTTTAGTCTATTTTGGTTGAGAATGATAAATAATACATCTTCAAGGGCTTTGAGTAATTTTTCTTTTTGATTTCGTATATTATCTAAAATAGTTAATTAGGTATCTTCAGCTTCTAATAAACGAGAATCTAGAGTGTCTAACTATTTAACTTAGACATATAGATCAGAATTGAGTCCTTTGATTGGAGAAGGAGTTTATTTTTTACTATTGCTACTAACATTTGATAAAGGCATTTTATCAAGATTAGATTGTAAATCTCTAAGTTTCTTTTGGCATTCTACAAAAATGAGTTTGTTGGATTTCATATTCTAAGCAAAGTCTTTTTGATGAAGATCTGTAAATGATCCAAATTCAATTTCCATGAATTTGAACTTTAATATATTTTCAATTAGATTACTTATTGTTCAGCTTAAACAAAAACAAGTTTCATCTTCTCAAAAACTAAGTGTTTGCTTTAAGTAAGTGCATATTATTTATAAAGATCATTGAATTCATCTATTTTTATTTTGAAGTTGTTTTCATTTTGTTAAAACATGGTTGTTGCCATTTTAATTAATTTTAAACTCAAAAATAATTAATAATATTTTAGAATAGTTTTGATATTTCTAAGGAATATGTTTTATATGTTTAAGTGCATATATATTATAATTTATATATAATATAAATTAATTAATGGATCAATTGGATTAGAAATAGTTAGAATAGCTTAAATAATAATAAGCATAGAAGGAATAAATGGAAGAAATCAAAAAGTCTATTCTGACTCAGATATTGACACCTGAAGCTAAACAAAGATGTATTTATATTGAATGTTTTATATATAGTGGCAAATATCAAATTGGTTAAACCAGAAAAGGCAGAGTTGATTGAAGTCTAACTTTGTTAATGGGCCAAATAGGGGAAGATAACAAATTAACTTTCTGAGGATGAATTGATCAAATTACTAGAAGCAGCAGAAGGATAGAAAAAACAAGAAACAAAAGTTACTGTAATTTTACAGTCTAAATTACATAGTTTTAAAGAAGAAAATTATCGAGTGATGATGATGATGACATTTGATATGTGTTAAAATTATAAATAAACAATTAAACAAAAACTCAAGTTGATAACTTCTTAAATCATTAAATTAAATTAAACAGCTGAAACCATTGTAATGAGTCTTATCCAAAATCCTCTCTAATATTATAATAATCCTTCTTTCCTCATCTTTTTCATATGATCATAAAATTTAACATATGCTCTTTATGCTCCCAAAAAGACATTAATTTATATTCTTCCCATGTATTGTATCAATTGAATATTTAAATTCAGTTGAAGTAATTATTGAAATCGACGCAATTTCAATTATTATGCCAATTTCATCAAGATCTAATCAGATTTTATTGGTACGAGATCTTTTAATTGATTATGAACAAGAAAATCAATTCTTAAGTATGATGTAGTGCAACAAGAGGATAGAACGAATCCCTAATACACGGCTGAATAACCTTATTTTCTGAGAGTTTTCTTAGACAATCAAAATGACACACCAAGCCTTATGAAGTGACTCATATCTACAGAAAAATTAAACACGTATGACTTCAAGAGGGTAATGTATTAATTAATTGAGTAGACTTGTTCAAAATGCTGCCTTCAATCTATTTGACTTATGTCAAGAATACTACATTATTGATTGATAGCATCTTTAAATTTTCTTTTTTTCAATATTCTTAAACATAATATCATATATAGTAAGGTTTATTGTAGCATTTTGAATAGTATTATTCACATTCAGACCATTACCTCTCCTAAATTAATATTAACCTTAGGTTTTTATAAATTTATTTTATTCCTGATCAAGTTGAATCTATTATATCTTCTCATTTTAGAATGGGACTTATTTACAATATCAATTTAACTCTTTCTGATGGAGCTTTTCTTTTATTTTTAGTATACACAACCACATATTTCTAAAATGCTAATCTTCATATCTACTTGATTTTAGGATAATATATTTTATAATTAAATAATAACAAATATTGAAATATTATATTACATTAATTTTCAAGATTTTCTGGAGATACGAAGAGTTTTTTATCTCTTAAGACTAACACGAAGACGAGATGACCTTTCATTACCAATCTAATTACTATCCTCATCCTAAAAGATGAATGAACTCTATTCAATAATTGAAGATACAAATCTCTCAACATCAGAATGGATAAAAAATTGATTCTTGAGTTGCATTGCATATATGTCATTACTTAATTTAAATATTCTCTATCTCAGAGTCAACATGTCCACTGTTTCCCTGGCAAATTTTAATTGCAACTTTGCAGTTTTCATTTCCTACCTATATTTCATGATTTCTCTCTACTCTTTAATATGGGATCGATATCTATCTCTCATCAATAAAGTAATGAATAGATTCTAAAAATATATCTAGTATCCTTTCTCATACAGAATTCTAACCCAAGTAATAAATCTCTTATCAGTTTTATGCAAAGATGAATATTAGTGAATCTTCATTGTATATTAATCCCATTTCTAAATCATTCTTGCTTTGTATTCTCTCACATTCTTTACAAATTAATTTAAATTGACTCTAATCAATTATAATTTCCCACTTGTAATTAGAGCCTTCTTCTTAAACATATATAAATTGGCTCGTTATTTCAATAGTGGTAAAACAAGAATTAATGAATTATTAATGATCCTCCTCTTTGATTACCTACAAAACATTGTCAAAGCCATCATTGTTTATCCAATTGTTCGATAATTAAGATTCTCTCTATTCAATTTGTAATCCTCTCTAAACTTTCTAATTCTTAATTGAATACTAATGATCATTAGCTTATTTTTCTTTAATTGCTTCCTTCTTTATTGCAACATGTAATACAATTTATCTACACACTTTATATAATGAAGTAATTCACACCAAAGGAATGTTTATTCTGTCCTTCTTTCTCTATTCCTTAAAGTTAATGTTATCAGTTTATATTCATCATGAGCCCATTCTTTAGCTTTAAAATCAAGATTTTTTTATTGATTTGCTTCAACTATTGCTTTCTTTTGTAAATTTCTTGTCTTGAGCACTTGTAGGAAACGATCAGATCGACTTACTTCCATTTCATACTTATTTACTTTCTTAAATGCCTGTATCTTATTCTGATTAACTATAAATTAAGGTATTTTTTGAATTTCTTCATTTTTCTGTACTCTCTCATGATTACTTGATATTCTTATCATCTTTTTAAAAGAGTCTGTCTATCCATAATATATCATAAATTTTATATCTGTTTATTTACGAGCCACAAATGCTAAATTAAGTTTCTCTTCTCCATTATGTCTAACAGTCCATGTTCTATTTCTAATTACTTAATCGCAATTAAATTTAGTTGGAAATGGAGAATTAAAAGATATCATTATATGGAATTCCCCATCGCAATACACTGTACAATTCAAAGGAGATTTGTAACCTTTAGTGGGAATATTGCAATAATAGAATTCCATAGGAGTCACTTTATATACCTTACCAGATATAAGTGTTCCACTTAGTTAACAATCTTAATGTAAATTGGGTTCAGTCAATGTTTACTTCAATGTATAACGTAGGCTTTTCAATTATTCCACATTCTCAAGCATCATCCACGATCGTTAGAACTTCTCTGTTGTCTCCTCCAATATACGAGATTAATCAAAAACACCAGAACCGCTTGTTTATGATCTGAAGTGTGAAATAGATGGAGAGTTAAGCTGATTGACTGGACTAATAATTGATTACTTCATTATAAAATTATTATATATTTTTGACAAATTTTAAGTAGTTTCTAATTATTACATTTAACAAACATAATCGCTCTATGATGAATTGGTCAATATTTATATCAATAATTTTTTATTAATTATATACTAATAATATTAACATAATCGCATTATAGAAAATGATCAAAATTAAATTCAATAGATATTAAAATTCAGATATTTTTATATATGATATCGATTATTCAAAATAATCATCATTTGAATTACACCCTCAGCACTCTTTATTATAAAATGAGCATATTGTTAATTTATAATCAAATTAAATAAAAAGGCTTTAAAAATTTTTTATTATAATTAATATTATATATAAAAAATATTAATGAATTTATATATTTTGTTTATAGAATTGTTGAATATAGAAATCTTATATTTATAATGATCTTTAAAATTTCTTTAAGATTTATTATCTATCTTAATTATCTAACCAAATGGACCATTTTCATAATTAAAGTTTTTTATGCTTTTCGCACTAAATGGAGAATTCGAAATAAAGTACAGAATAAATAGAAAATTAATAAGATTATCAATTTGATTATCCAATAAAGTCAATACATAATTAAAATACTAATTTAGCTCTACTTATTTTTGAGAAATGATAATATTATATTCGAAAAAGAAAAAAATGAATAAAATTTTTATAATAAAAAATAAAAGTAATAAGTATTGATAATAAAAATCATTTAAGATTAGACAATTAAATCAAAGCCTTATCCTTCTATATTTAAGCCGAATTCTTATTATGAGAGGATGTTGATTAATTTCTCATAATTTTCTATTTTATCTTAATTCCTGCAGCTATATATTTTTACTCATCCAAATCACCCAACAGACGATTAGGATATTTGGTTGGACTGAATCGACTTTGTGGTGTCATAGCTTATGTAAATTCAATAATAGTCTTGATGATTTCAGTTGATCTTTATTCGTTGTGATTACATTACAAAACAACCTATCTCTTATGACCTAAATATCCCTTAAATATTGTATCAAAATGATATTAAGGAATTAGACTATCTTATTTTGATGCCAACAATAGCATTGGACAAGTGATATTTAAATTTAAAGGCAATTAAACCTTATTAATATGAAATTGGAACAATTTTGCAATGCATCCTGAATTATTTAGATTTTATACTTCTAATCAATTCATACAATCCTTTATTTATTATATTTGGAGTATGTAGTTTTAGTTTTATTAAATTAATCACAACATCTTCCAAAATTAAAAATGGACTATCTAAAACCAAACATTTTATATTCTCATTCTTTTGAGTATACATCAAGGCTGTAGTTGCTCCCATAGATCTTCCCCATAAAATAATATGAAAATATTTCTCTTTCAAATATCGAATTACTAATGATATGTTCTCCTCCTCTTTTAAACTTCATAATAATGACTAATTACCCAAAAGTTACAAAGTCTCCTTAGGACTATCCAGCTGCCTAAAAATCAAATGAACAAAAATCAAAATCACTTTTACATACATAGGGAGCATATTAGACTGCTTCTAACCTTGATCCATTATAGCCATGTAAATATAATATACATGATTGAGTATATTTATTGCATTTGTATAGAGAACATTGTAATCCTTATAATTAGAAATCTTATCTTGGAAAACCACATTCCAAATCTGACTTATTATAAACAACACGTTTAGGCTACATTATTTACCTACAATAACTATCTAACATTTTTAATTGTGTTTTTTATTAATACTTGTGTAATTATTTATTTACCTTTTATAAAATAAATATAATAATATCATTTTTTATAAATCATCTGTTAGGACCATAATTATTTTATTGTTTAATCTAAAGCTTTAAGTTTTCAATCTCTTAAATTATTGTTTTGCAATATTTTTAATCTTTTTTCATTAAGGCATTTTCATAAAATTAAATTAAATCATCAAACTAATTATCATTAAAAGCACTAAATATTATCATTCTTTCTGTCTTATTTTTGTAATCTTAAATTTTGTTTTATTCATTTTTCTACTTAATATCTTACAATGCCTTTGAGAATGCAAGTAATTAAATTAAAAACTTTAATTAAACATCCCCATTAAATATTCCACAACCCCATTTACCAGTTGATATATTTTCATTATTTGTGTAATCAAGTGCTAACGAAAACGCAATATAACTTTTAGTTAATTCTCTATTAATATAAACTTGATCAAATTACAATTACCAATTTTTATAGGATATTGCATCCATACACTAAAGTATTAATTGTGAAATATTACTAATATATGATTTTTTATAATTTTCTTATTTTAAGTTAATTTATTTAAATCCTCTTTTTGTTGAGAAAATTCATTATTCTATTTAGTGGATGGATTATAAATTAATTTAAAATAATCTTCATCTTTTTATCTAAAAGTCTATCCATATCCATCATAATCATTAAATCTAATTACATTTTTTATAAGAATAGCTTCATTATCATCCATAGGTTCCATAAATAACATGCTAATAAGCGCTTCAGGATGTGTTAACATCAACACCTATTAAAAAAATAAATTTGAAATAATTACTTCCTCTTAAGCTATATTGAAAGGATCTAAACTTAAACCACCTACATTTTTATCAGCAAAATTTACTAAAACTGAATTTTAATAATCCTCACATCTTCCTTTATTCTTTGTAAAATAACTCAAAAGATATTATTAATCATTAAATATTTGATTATATTATCTAAATTCAGTTCTTCTAATATAAGTTACGAATTCATCTTCTTCATTATTATTATTTAATAATTAGTTACGAATCATTTCGATTTTTTAATTCAAATATTATATTTTTTGAGAATGTTTATATTCTTCTTCTTAAATCTCTTTTTCAAGATCTTAAATTTACCTTTAATTTGAATTCAATTATTAATCATTATTTATTACTACATCTTACTTTAGAAATCTGTTGTAAAAATTAATAAAATAGGAATGAATACACTTAAGTTTTTCCTATGATTATTTACATTAACTCTATTTTATTAATTCCATGTTAATTTGATAAAATCCTGATTATTACATATTTTGATTATCCTTATCAATAGAATTCGAATACATCATTAATAATAGAATAAAGACTTATTTTCTTGAAAATTATATCTATTATTCTATAAATGATTGGTTATAATTTTTTCCTTATTATTAATTAGATTTCTCTTTTTATATATTTTATTTTATTTAATTGTTTCTGATCTTGGTTTGAGATTACTATAGAATGAACTCATTTATATAATTTATTAAGTTGACTTGATTATCTTTTATTAATTAATTTGCAATCTTATTAAATTGGACCATAAAGTGTTTATCCTACATATAAATTATTTATCCTCACATTAGATATATTTGAAAAATCAAAGTACTCTTTTTTGTTTGCTTTAACTCTTAATTACATTGTGTTTGTAGTAGAATTACAAATTATTAATATACAAATAATATTAATAGAAAAAAAAGTACAAACATTTGCTAAATATATATGTTTTGGGATATACAGAAATATCAAATAGTGTGTTAAGAATTTAGCAAAATAATTTTGGTAGTCTCAATCCATTTATATATGTACTTAGATTGTCAACTTAAATTTCAATTAAGCCAATTTTTAATTCCTATTTGGGACCTATAGTTCTATTAAAATATCAAATGAATGAGCACTTCAAAAATGATTTTGATAAGGTGTTATAAATTGGTTTTAAAAAAACCCATAAGAAAATTTGAGTAAGTAAATTTTTATATTTTGTAAATGAATAGAAAGTCTTATATGAAAATTTTCATGATAGAACTGCATTTATTTATCTGTTTTATTGTTTTTATATCAATTACTTATTTGATGTTATACAGATAGGGATTAAGTCTGATAGGAGTGATCAAAATAAAGAATTAATTTTATATAAAAAATAACTACACATTAATGTTTGAATTTATTGATCAAAAAAAGCTATTTTAGAAATATATGAAACTATTGTTTTACTTATATGACCATTCAATTGTTTATTTAATAGATAATATTAACAAATAAAATATATTTATATTATCCACAAAAGCATGTAATTTTGAGAATCTTTTAAGGGGATTTAAGGAATCCCATTGATTGATGTGATTTTTTAGTACTTTTTATTTAACTTTTGGTATTATGATAAATTAAAATTTTAATATATTTGAAAGTATTATATGTATATCATAAATAATCATTCATATGGACAAATATAAAAGTAGATTTGAAAAATAAATTATTATTTAAATAAAATATTTATAAAATAAATTAGCTGTCTAGATTAGTGAAATGTTTAAATAGACAAAAGTCAATGATGGCTTCAAACTTCCAAGAATCGAGAAGTCCCATGCTTATGTTCCTTAGTCTAATCGGGATTCATTAGATTTTCTTTTAGGGAAAAATAGAAATGATTATGCTCAATAAGTGATATAAGAAAAGAAGATGATTACTGAGCTACCCACAAATCGATTAGCCCGTCGTGGCAGTTAAGTTTTGGATGGTTCTTCATAGGTGTTTATGCCAGTGCAATAAACTTAGAGAAAGATCAGTCAAATGGATTGTAAATATGATATTGAAAATTTTTTTACTCTGGAACCAAAACCTGTGGTTAAAAAACCAATGGTTATTGCTAAAATTAATCGTGTACCCAAGCATTACCGCTTATAAAATTTTACTGATTGGGTTGAGAAGTTATATGGTTAAGATTGGTTCAATGATTAAATATGATCACAAATTTTACTTAAACTTGACTTAACTTATCCAATGGCAGGTTTCCTTAATTCCTTTTATTAGTAATTCTCTTCATTTATTATTTTTATTGTTATCAATAGTCTAATATTTACAATAAATGTCTAATATTTCAATGTTCCTATTTTTATTATTCTTTACTAATTCTTAAAGAATGCATTCTCTTTTATAAGAACTAATAAAATCAACTATTAATATAACTCTCTAAGTGTTCCTTAAGTCATTCTTGAAAATAGATGATACCTCTCTTATTTACTCTTTTCTATGTATGAAATTAAAATAAATATAACCAAATTGTTTCATTTAACATTTAAATATACAATAGACCTTATTTTTTATTTATTATTTGGAACCTTTGATCTAATTTATACCATAAAGTAATTGTAAACTATTTATACTATGAAAAATACTTGATTTTTAATTAATTGTTTAATTTTCCTAAAATAATCTTAAAGATGTGTTTTAAACTTTAAAATTATATTACAAATTCTCCTTCTAAGATCCTCTCATCATTTTCAATTTGTAATAATGATGTACATTTTCTCATATCATTTTGAATTATAATTTGATTTATTTTATATTTTATATATAAATTTAATAGTATATTTTTAAAAATTGCCCATCATTAGATCTAAAAGTACGTTCTTATAACTATTCCTTGTAATTCATTCATTTTTTTTACATATTGTCTCAAAAATTATTAATCACATTACTCTGTTTACTCTATATTTTCTTAATTTTTCAAAATGTTATATTTATTTTATACTCTTTATAAAACTGATCCATTTTTACTAATAAATAGGTTCCTTTATTTTCTCATTCCACTATTGATAGGTCGATTTTGAAATTTCATTGAATATCAGATCGATATTTATTCCAATCAAGATGCAATCCTTTATAGTTAATGATCCAAGTAAAACAATATTTAGTGTTATGTATGTATGTTGTGATTTCTTAAGATTGATGGTTTTTGTAAGGGTTCCAAAATTAATTTTTGATTATAATGATAAATTATTTTATCATATTGCTTTTTGTGCAAACAATACAACCTTAATATATATTGGATTAAATCCAAGTTCTGAACCATGAATTTAATGAGAAGCTTGAATTGAATCCACTATTCAAGAGAAATTGTCTGAATGATAGAGAACGTTTGTGTCAATTATATTCAGATTCCTTGTCACCAAAAAGCGAGGAAATAATATCAATAGTATGATATTCAATTAAATAGTAAGGCAAATGAATACCTCAATTATTTTGGAGATGAAGATCCTGATTAATATTAGAGACTTATTAATCAAATCATAACATAATATGTTTATAGGTAAGATGAATATTAAACATATGCACTTGTATTCTAAGGTTTAAGAGATATGATATAGAATTCACTCAATATTTCAATTGGTATTAATTCTAAAGAAAGAGAAATTATACCTGTATCAGAGAATACAACTAAATAATTTGACATCTTAATTACATTTGAGAATCTCTATCTTTCAAAAGATGGCAAATATATCTATACAAAAGACTAAGAGGGTGTGATATATTTCAATTCTTCTGTGAATCTTGGAACAATTAAAATGAATTCAACATCAATTTTAGCTAGTTATTTAAATAAAAAAAAGAGACTTTTTAAAACTAGATCAATGATTGAATTATTTGGTGCTGGAACAGAAATAACAAAATTAAATATTAGTGCTCATTCATAAATAGCATACATAACATTTATGATTGAAGCAACACCTTTATCTCCATAAGTTTTGAAGAATAAGATTCATTTTGCAATTCAACAGAGATTTAGATAACTTCATAAAATTAAGAATGATTTCATTGAAAAGTTTATCATACATTTTTTACCAAGATATATGCTTCCATCGTTACATGATATAATTTAAAATCTATTATAAAATAAACCAGTTGAAACTAAATATGAAGAACTTTAATTTTTAATAGATGAAATAAAGACTATGAATAATGAAAAACTAATAGAATTTGATAAATTAATTGAATAACTTTTATAATGATGCTCAATCTACATCTAAAGACTGACTCTTCTTTAAAAATCCCATTTTTGGTAATTAAGCATTTAATTAAGATAATTAATTACTAATTCCTGATTATTCATCATCAATTACATAATCATCATCTTTACTTCTTTACTTTTATTAATAACTGTTTTATAATGCAAATTTGTGTAAATCTTAACGATTTTTCTTTTTCTAAATACTTTAATTATTTTAAACTAATCCTTCTTGTTTCATTTATGAACAAAATTAACTGAATTTAGATAGATAAGTCTACTATTTATCAGCCTTATTATTTGAACCAACATTTGAACAATTAGACAAAGATCCTATTGTCTCAGTTTAACCATTCCATTATTATTATTTACTCATCAATAACATAGAACCTTCTTAACTTTCCTAAGAACTAAAATACTAAACTAATTATTATACTTCTTTCTTTATAAGGGTGAAATGAATTCCAATTCATATTTTTATAAATTCTCCTTGTTATCTAATAAATCATCTTAATTGTAGATCTCTTAAAAATATTCATGTTTCAAACATTCTTCTGCAGTATATCTTTCATCTGGATCAGCCTTTAACATTTTCTTCAATAAATTCTTCAAATGTTAAGGACCCTAATTATTATAATTTTTAATATAATATACCTTGTTAAATTATGGGATATCATAATTAATTTGACATGCCTTATTAGATTACAATATCTCCTAATATTCACATCCACTAAATGGTTAAATACCAGTAATCATTAAGTAAAATATTACTCCTGTACTAAAGATATCACATTTTTCATTGTAAAATGGACCACCATCATTGTATTTCAAAATCTCAGGAGCTACAAATCCTGGAGTTCCACATCTTTTATAAAGTGGCTATTAATCCATTATATGAGCAAGTCCAAAATCTGCTATTACTATATCTGTATCATTATCTTTGCTCTTTAATAACAAATTTTCTGGTTTCAAATCTCTATGCATACATTTTTTTGAATGAATATGAAATAATGCTTTTATTAAGTTGTACATTAATTGCTGGATTTTCTATGCTGAATATATTTTAGATTGAGCTCTCTTCAATAATTCTCCCCCTTCCAATAAATCCAGTACAAAATAAATAGAATTTTAAGTTTCATGAACTTCATAAAGATGTAAAATATTCTCTTAATTCAATCTCCTCATCACTCTGATCTCATTTTCTAAACCCTCTCTACCTCTAAATTGACCATGAATATACAGTTTGCTAAAAGCTTTTACAGCGTACTGAACTCCATTTGATTACCTTTTGGCCAAATATACATTAGCAAAACTTCCCTTTCCTATCATTTTGAGAACATTAAAATCATTATGGAAAGTTGTCAGTACACACTTACCAATTAAGACTTTCTTTAATTACTCAAAGTTATCTATGACTATATCTACATACTGGCCATTTCTCTACAATCTAATGAATTCTTAGTCATCGTATCGTTTAAATAACATTACTGTAACAGTCAATTACACCATTCCTTATGGTTACTAATTTTTGAAAGCATATAAAGTTTCCTAACCAATTTAAATACTAAATGGCTTTAATTACTTATGAGTTTTGCTCAATCGATTGCATTCAGACTAGTATTCAATAAAATCATTCTAAATAAATTTTTAAAATGTTTACTTTATACTAATTTTTGCAAAACTTTGTCCAAATCTTATTCTTCAATTAATCCTTGGTATCAAAGAAAGAGTGAATTTCACTAGTCATATTTAAAGAAGAATAAATAAATAAAATTTTATTGATTAAATTATCTTATTTACCCATCTTTATCAGTCTCGTTAAATTCTTCAATTTAAGTGCGTCTAGTAATAAAAATTAAAGAAATTTATAATAACACTATATATAATCATTTTTTTATTATCATTTGAATTATACCTAGAATAAATTTAAAAATTAGGAATTAGTTTATATATTTATTAATATTAATTGTTTATTAGTATTTTAGAATTCTTTCATTAAATGGTATTTGTCTTAATTAACTAAATAATTAATTTATATCGATACAATAAAGCCCTATTTTTATATAATATATATATATCAAATCTATTTCTAGAGTAATTCAAAATCCTTCAACTTCTTGACAAATATTTTTCTCTAAAACTTACATTTTAGACAAGTCTTAACAATAAATAATTTTTTGCAAATTTTTTTAAATTTCACTTCTCCAAAAACAATTGGACATAAACATTTTTTACAATGAGTATGTTTAATTTATGGAGTCATTCTAATTGGTACCTTCTCTGCTACCTTCTACATTTGTTCCTTCATGAATTAAGCATACTCAATATTTGATTACTAAAACAAAAGTGAAGCTTAATAAAGGTAATTGAGTCTAAAATATGCATCATTATCTTTCCTTTTGTGAATGTCTTCTGATGTTATTACATATTAAACCATCTTAATAGATTTTTATTTATTAATTTATATACTTCATTTTTCTTAATAAATATTAGTATATGTAGAAATATATAATGGCTCTCTTAAAGCTATAACCTAATTAAATAAAATATAAAATTCAGAAATTTATAAGCCGATTCCTGATCACACTAACTTAAAAGTAATAATATAATTAATGTAAAATGATATTATATCACGTGACACTATTTAAGATGAATATGACATTGAAATCATTAAATTCAACATAAATAACATTAAAGAATTAGAATTTATTTATAATCATTTATGATGAAAGTTCAACTTAACTAACGACAAATGCGATTTATAATTTAGGACTCATAATTAATTTTTATTTAGTAAATAAAATACATATGAGTTTCATGGATAATATAATAAAGTAGTTGATAGTAATATGTCAGATGTTACTTGTTTGGATATGAATCAATATATTTTTGGATGTACTCATTAATACCTAGAGGATTAAATTTATATTAAAAATAACCTTAATAATAAATTATATATAAACTGATATATATAAAGTACAATAAACACTTTATAAACTATGTTAACTTTATAGACTCTTAAGAGCTTGATGATTTGATAAAGCATACTAATTTCTAAACAATTAAATACTGAAATTTATGGGGTATCATTTTTATTTTATAATGTTATCAAAAATATGTAAATTTATAAAAGATTGATCCTAAATTTAATGCATTATCAGAATGTAATATTTAATTTAAGAAAATCTTGATTATCATTATTATTATTCAACCATTTCATATGCACAGCATCCCATAGTAGCAAGGTCTAATCCCTCATATTCTTCTTCTAATGTAACTCTCAAAAATCCTATTTTATCAATAAATAGAAGAGTTATCAAATGAATGAGAGCAGACCATCCAATATATATGAAGGATCCTAACATCTAAACAGCAAATTAATAGCCTCCTTTACCATAGACAATTCCTGTATCCATATCAAACCATGAAACCAAATTAGCTCCCAACATTCCACATGCCTAGAATAAGATAGAATTAAATACAAAGTGAATTGAAATAGCATCAACAGGATCATCTATTTATAGATTGAATAGAACTCTATTTGCAAATACCATCATCATACCTCCAAGTATTCCAATAACAAATGCTGCCCAAGCATCAACATTATCACAAGGTCTAAAATTATATAAATATTATATTACCCAGTAATTGCTACTAACCCAGCCAGATTGCCGTTACAAATCATGACTAAGGAATATCTATTGGTTTAATCGATATTCATTAAATAGAAAATAAAGAAAACTGTTAAAGCTCCAGAAGCTCCAGCAATAAAAGTATTCATAATGGCACGACTCATAAAAACACTAGCACCATCAGCAATACCTAATGAAGATCCACCATTAAAGAAGCACCAACATACCCATAAAGAAAGACATGCTAAAGTAATGTAAATTGGATTGTTAGGTTCAAAATGTTCTGCATATTTTGGATTGAATCTTTGATTTCTTGGTTTCAATAACATTGTTGTCATTAAAGCACCCATACCAGCAGAAGCATGAATAGTACCACTTCCTGCATAATCATGATATCCTAATTTCATTAACCAACCATTTCCAAATCCCCAATGGGCACAGAATGGATATATAACTGAAGAAAATACTACAGATAATATAAAGTATCCAATGTAAGTCATACGACCAGCAGCTCCTCCTGAAACAATACTTGTGGCAGCAGAGGCTACTGCTGTCTGAAATGCAAACTCTGCCAAATGTTTAGAATTTTTCATATCAAATCCAATATAAACAGATGATCCAACGAATTCTTTTGAATCACTTCCAAAAGCTATCCCATAACCAACAATCCACCATATAACAATAGTAACACAGGTATTCATAAATATTTTGAGCATTATACTTTGCATGTCCTTATACCTAAGACATCCACCTTCAAGGAATGCAAATCCAACTTGCATCAACAAAACGAATGCTGCACAAATACATAGATATCCCTACAATAATTGATCAAATCTTACTATGTCTATTGATTCTTTGAGTTGTTCCATACGCTCAATTGCTATTCCTAAATCTGTCATTCTTTTTTATTATATTTTATACAAAATAAGTCAATATCAAATTTATTTCTTCTCTAAGATCTTTTGTATTAACTTCTATTTCCAATATCTATCTTACACGATTGGTTCTGGTACTTTATAAGCAAAAGAACTAAAAGAATAAATCAGAAAAGTTACTTTTTAAATGTCGTTTTGAATTGTCCATCATAACACCCATTTCCTTATTGATGGCTGCTATTTTTTTTCCTAGGTGGTAATTCCTCTAATTAATAACTTGGATAATGGATTTTAGATAAGGCTTCCTTGAAAATCATTGAGCTCCCAGAAGCAAAAGGACCTCTAAAATAAACTAATATTAAATACAGGGATTTCTTTTTTGCAGATTCCATAGGTTCACAATTATTGACTCTATAATTCTCTTAATATGAGGTCTTGCCAATAAAGGGTAGGGCTCCAGTACTTTATCCTCTTTGAGGCCCCACCCTTTCAGTAAGACATGGTTTCCAATTGACGTAATTTTATTTATAGCTGGTGAGAGTGAGCATTTCAGGATTATCCTTAGTATAGGAAGGTTTATAGTTATCCAGTGGGTTAATTTTTGGAGTACGATATGAAGTCTAGATATAAAAATATATATCAAACTTCATATTGCGTTTGTAACTGAAGAGATTAAGCAACAGGGACTTAATCATACATCTTAATGTTGAAATTTGATTAATCAAGAGCATTCAGTTTTTTATGGGCTTGGTCATAGGTAGTCTGCTTTTTTAAGGGTAGAGACACTTTAATTTCTTGTATTCTGTTTTATTGTCTTTCTTGCATGTATAAACCAAGTAGATTAACGAAATACTCTTGATTATCCATAATCAATCTCTCAAGGTTGAAGTTTTAATCTTATTGTATTTCTGTGGGAATCAATTCTAACCAAATAGGATCGTCAATTGGTACTAAGTCAAAAATGGAGTTAGTTTATGTTTTGACACTATCTGAAGGAGTAGGAGTAGCAGTTCGAGATTTTACTGAATGAACAGGTTATGATTGATGAGAATGTTGTGACTTAGCCAATTTCTCATGAGGGTCAACTATTTCACCTTTGTTGTTTTTGTATACAATTCTTTTCTTTCCCTTACTCTCATATCTACTGTAGCTTTTCAATGAGCCTTCAGTTGGTGATCGCACCAAAAGTGTTTGTTGAGATGGCTACAATAAACCTTACATAATTATTAATTAACATGAAAAAAAATAGAAGATTGTTTTAATTATTATGTATTGATATTTCATTATTATTTGCAATCTGGTTTCTCTGCTTTTTTATTATCGCCACCTTTACTGTTGCTTGACTTCTTTCGTTTCTAAAATAAATAGTATATAATACAGATTTCTTTTTGTCATCATCTTCATCATCATCATCATCATTTTCTTCTTCTTCTTCATCATCTTCATCATCATCTAATTCTGCCATTTCTGGTTGTATTCCCAAATACAATTCCAAAGAACAAGGAACAATTGAATCCAAAAATTCTGTTGCTATATCAAAATGTTCATTCATCAAATCTTCTTACTTTTATAATTCCTCTTCATCTAATTCTTTTTATTTGCTAAGATCGAAATCCTTAAAGAAATTGAAGAAACTATCTGCATCAACTACTTTTTCAACATTTCTTGAAGCTCCAGTTTTCTTATTCTTTTACTTCTTAGAAACTTTCTTTTAAGTGATATTTTTTCCATCTTTCCAATCAATATGTGTTGATTCACTCTTTATGGGAGTGTCTTCATTATCTTCAAAAAAGAATTTCTTCTAAAGAACTTCATTAGTGAAATATTCATTAGGTAAGAAAGTCAATTTAATAGTGAAATTATTATTGTTCTCTTCATGATCCAATTCAACTTTCTTGATGAATTTAAGCACATCCCAATCTTTCTCATTATCATGACAAACGTCAGCTTTAAATATGAGCATATTATGTTACATATCAAAGTAGAGTTCTTTAACACTTTATACCAATATTCTGCTAAAGGTTCTGCAACATTATTTTATGTTATTTCTTATGTTTCAGCATCACTTACAAATTTTGGCAAATTAGTTAGTTCTACTTCATTTGGGATTCTCTATCCCAAAATGATTTCATTTTGCTTTCAAATTAATACTTTTTCAATTACCTACTCATATAATGGTAAATTGAGACGATCATATTAATTGGTGAGTTTTTTTATTTGTTCTTCTAACTCTTCATCATATTATTATTTTCGTTTGAGACTATGGAATAGTGCTACTGCATGAACTCTTTAAGCAAGAGGTAGAGTTTTTATCTTAGCTATGACTTCGTCAATATTTGAGTTCTCGTGATCACTCATTAAAAATTATAATGAATTAACAAAAGCATTTCAAATTCATACTCTAATATCTAGAATTCAGTTCCAAATCAGATCAATAGTCGTACGAATTAACAATCTTATTGAAACGCAGTACAGCTGCTGCTCAATAAGTTGTTACTAAATTACCAATCAAGAATCCTGAACGCACCATGACTATATGTCGTCTTCCTATTGATTAAGTTGTTGAGTTTCAATAACGAATGATCAAAAAGGATGGAATCTATGCTGATTATAATGTAAACTCTCCTTATATAGTTAGATCAAATTCCTTTTCTATTTAGCAGGCAATCAATTGCTTGGTGATTGTGTAATTAACTTAGCATACTTTCTTGATGGTGGAGCACCTCAAGATTAAAAATAAAAAAAACCACTCACATCTACGACAGATAAGAGAGCTGCCTTACTCTTTAAAGTGATTAAGGATTCAATGTTCGAATCTTAAGAATTGCCTATAGCAGACATTCCTGCTCCAGTTAATGGACCTGCACCTCAGACAGCCCGAACATCCAGTACTAGAAAGATAGACTCTAGAACAACTAGAGCTCGTAGTCAATCTCCACCAAAGGAGTTTAAGAGCACTATAATGATAAGTAAAGCCAATGAATAACCAGTTTAATAAACTGTATCACAATCCTAATTCTAATAATAATAACATTAATAGATATAATAGGATAATCTTACTTAAAAATTTGTACAATTAGGTGAAAAATTTCAATAATAGAAATTACAATAAACAATTCAACCAACAACATCATCACCACCTCCTGAATATGATAATTTCAAAGAAATCAATGATCTTCTTTCTTAATAAGAGGCTGAATTAGAAAAATAGATTGAATAATTAGATATTCATATTAGATCTGATGGAAAATTTAAGAAGATTTTTGATGATTCCACATTCAATAATTTTGACGTTAGTTCTTAAGATTCAGAAATCTAATAATGGAAATAGAAATGTGCAGAACTTGAAGAAAAATTTAATAAGATTCAAGATGAAAATTAACATCTTACTGTCATTATTAGATAATAGAGTGAATAATTAAAAAAAATTAATTAAAGATCTCAATCTGGTTATAAATAAATCAATGATAATACTCTCAATTAATCTACAACATCAAATCAAGAATAATATGAAAAAACTATTGAAAAGAAAAACTAAATCATTAAAGAATTATCTAATTAATTATTAGAATTAGAAAAGAATGCTAATGTTAATGTTATTGATTAATTGAAGAGTTAAATTTTAAGATTAGAACAATAAATGTAAGAAAAAGAAGATTAATGGTTAGCATAAGAAAGAATCTATAAGGATAAGATAATTTAATTGTTATAAAATACAGAATGAGTTTATCAAACAAAAACTTTGTTTATTTGTTCACATTCTGCTTTAAATTCACCACTTAATTCTCCATAATTTGTTATTAATTATTTAATCGTCTTATTTTCTTTGGCTATAACATGAGACATTTCTGAAAACATCTCATGCAAAATCACCCAATGTAAATTCACTTAATGTATTCCATCTTCCTATAAAATCACAGTCCAAAATGAAATCAAAGGACATTTCATATCTACCATCATTTTCATATTGTTTGGTGAGAAACAAAGAGATCCTTATTATCCAAGATGTACTGACATATATTCTGATCTTAGACCTTTAAAACTAAGTCCCTTATATGGATCAGGATACTCATAGGCTCCTTTTGCATCTACCACACATATAGGTAGATGTTGAATTATTTTCTTAGTGTGTTCAAAATTAATAACTTCAAAAACCCAATTATGATTAACATAACTTAAACATGGCTCTTATTTCATTGGTTCAAGTATTTTCTTATTTTATAGGGAACTTATGATCCAACTAAATTTGATATTGTGTGATAAATGAAATTGCAATGGATGAAATTCCATTATTTTAAAATCTTCTTCATGTTCATATTAATCTTATTAAATTAATTATGGTTCATTCTCAATTTATTATATTTATTATATTTGTTATTCTTATTCTCCCTTTTGTTTCCCTTACTTTTTATTTTGTTTCTTGCCTCCCTTTTTGTTATTTTCTTTAGGTGGTGGCTTGTTATGTATTATTTATTCAGGAATGTTATGCAATATCTTAAGCACATTTACTGGTAAATTTATTTTGCATCCCTGACTATAATAGTTATCTTCATTTAAATTCAAATCCATTTAAATCAATACATCTACATTCAAAAAATGATATTGATTTCTTGAATATTTGCCAATAACAGGTATTGCAGGATCTCCAGTAAAAACATTCGTCAGAGAAGTAGATTAACATTTATTTCCAATTCTTAATAAAAATGAAAATTAATCAGGAGGTAATTTTTGCAATTCTGTAATATCTCCAATTTATTACATTAATTTATTTTATAATATAATTTATTAATCAATAATAATATATGAGTAAACATTCAATCAAAATTGCTATATGCGCAACTCAAATAAGAATAAGGATCTACTTTATCAGTTGGAGAATATTCATCTACCTCTCCACTTGAAAATTCTTCATTTATTATTTATTCCTTTGATTCTTCCAATATAGACTCAACCGATTCTTCCTTCTTAGGAATACTTAAGAATTTATCATAAGGTAGTTCTTTTTTTAATTCATCCTTCAAATTTTGAATTGCTTGTATATACAATTATTTCGTTGATTAATCTTTGATCTTATTATTAAGAAGTACACATATATCAGCCTAAGTACTCAAGAAATCAATCCATTTATTTTGAGTTTCTATCTAAATGATCTTGGTTCTTGGATTTATAACACCAAATAACTTCTTAAGATCTCCCAACTCAAACTTTTATTACTTTGAAGTTTTCTTCTTATGAATGGCTCTCAGATACCCATCAACTTATTTGTATCCCATTTCTTCTGACCAATGCATGAATTGATTCATGAAAAATGGCACTATTCGTCTTTAAAAATTGTGTAATTTCTTAAGTGTATAAGGCACTTCTCTTTGTTTTTGCAGTGGTTTCATTGTCAAATGAGCATTGATAACACCCAATAATTCTTCATCTATCTATATGACTGCCTTGCCATTGCATTTTTTAAGAATCTAAACAATTTTAATATAGGTCATACTTAATATGTGTAAACTTCTTACATTTTATTTCTAATAGTAAAAGTTCTTTTGAAAATTTTCAATTAAATCAATTTTTCATCACAATGTTCAACAATATTTATGGAATTTTCATTATAAAATAAATGTAATTAATCAATCAGAAATGATTTTCGAATTAGTGTATAGATTAGTATGTACATATACTTAATAAGAGTGACAATTCTTATATGTTTGAACATCATTAGGCCTTTTACTTTTTAATTATGTTCATAACTCATTATTCATTATCAACTTGTAATGAATTTTTTTCTATTTATGCCTTCCACTTTTTATTCTATTAATACTCTTATTTTTAAATCCCAGTCAATCTAAGAAACTGATAATGAAAAAAGTTAAGAATCAAATTTATGCATTGAATAATTTGTTTTCTATATCATATATTTTTTTAAAGCTATAAATAAAAATGATATTTGTTTTATTAATGCTTAATTTCAATTCCTACTACTTCATTTCAATGTTTTCATTCTAAATTTTTGAACTTAATTGGACTATTCTTCTAAATTTTAATTTAGTTTTTAAATTTTTATAATGAAATAAAAAATCTAATCAAAGTATTATTTTACTTGATTTACGGTTTGTTAATTTGATGTAGATCTCTTAACCATAGAATTGGTTTAATCATAATCATGTATGATTGTCTGATTTTTATATGATTATAAAATAATCTCATTATAATTTAGGGAATTCCTACTCGTTGGTAACATCAACCTTCTGTTCTTATTGCTTGACTACTTTTTAAACAACCTTTTTAACAAATTCACTTTCAGGAGCATTTTCATAAAAATTTCTTTTAGCTTTAATCAAATCTATAGCCAAGTCTATTTAGTTTGAATAAAATGGAGCAGCCACTCTAATTTGATCAAAATATTGGAAAGTTGTTAAATCATGTTATAAGAATTAATCCTACATATAGAATTATAATTATTACTCCTTCCTTTTTCTCAAATTTTGATAAATAAGAAACCAAACCATCACACAACTCTAAAAACTATAAATAAAATAAATTACTTATTAAGTCTTCTCTGGCTTTATTATTTCCATCAACTTCATACTCTTCTTCACTCTGGTCTTCTTCAACTTCAATATCTTCAGGAGCATCAGGATCTTCTACTTATATTCTATTGTAATGTCTTTCAATCCTTTTTGTATGCTTTTCCTCTGTCTTCTTGATCTTGTCAATCTTCTAGAGGATGTAATCTCTGTGTCTTTACAATTCCTATTGATTCTCATGTTGATCCTTCAATTTAATGTAGGCTTAAATGAGGATCAAAACTCTTGAAGCAACTCCAAATAAGAATTAAATCTTCTCTCTTTCTTAAGCAAAAGTGTTTTTAAATTTTATTTGATCATTTGTTATTTTTGAAATGGCTTGATTATCCTCCTCACTTTTTTAATTCTTTTTTGTCAAATCCTTTAATTTCTATTTGTTTTAATGATATTTGGTATATTCATCAAAATATTTTGAAAACATCTCTTTTAATTGTTGTAATTTGAAAGCTGCAAATTCATATTCACTCTGAACCAATTTTACATTTCCCAAACTAACTAAATTTTAAGATGTCTAAGCTTCTTTGAACAAAGCTTCTACTTCAAGCTAATGATATGAATAAATTATATACAATAGCCTATTCGAATTTATCAATTTCCTTCTGAATTGCAGCAGTCCATGCTTTATTTTTTAATTCTTCAAGGTGCTTGTTTGGTTAGATTTCTGGGTGTTTCACAACTACTTTAGAAGGTTTTTTTGTTTATTGAGTTGTCTTTGGTTGTTGAATAATATGATTCATAAATTAATTAATTGGATACGATGATCAAAATGAACGTATTATTAAATGAATAGATTCATAAATTCTTTAAATTATTATTCAAATTAATCTTTATAACTAAAATTAGCATTATTAAATAGAGTTATGTATAAAATTCATTTATCTTCTTTCATTTCTCACTATCTACAAACTTATTATTTTCAATTTTAATAAATAATAAGATTTATAAAAGAACAATTAAATTAATTATTTTATAAAAATAATATATAATAATATCTCTAATTCATATTTAAATATCTATATCATATTTGAAATGAAATTAGTTGGAAAAACTATATAATTTTAGAAAATATTCATATTAGAACTAAAAGTAGTTATGGTTATTATATTTAGTATATCTATTCCAAAAAATTTTAAACAAGAAATAAGAAATGCCATTTTTTTATTTATTTTTGTTAATTTTAATCATCCAGACTAGATGAGTTAAAATAAATATTGATCTCAAATTAATTTAAATTTAATTATTAAATAGCAATTCCATATAAAAATATAATATATTAAAATCCAATAATATTGTTAAATCAAATGATTATCACACTCTTAGTAATCAAAGTGATCTGTATATTTCCTAATACTTAATTGTAAGAAGGATAAGAAATTTCTCTGTACCCAACAGTAGGAGAATTTTATGAATACTACCTTGGAACTTTTCTATCAAAATCTTAATTAATGTGCAAAATGCATCCTTAAGTTCCAAATGTGTAAGTAATCAATTAATGTGAAGAAATATACCNAATTTTACATTTCCCAAACTAACTAAATTTTAAGATGTCTAAGCTTCTTTGAACAAAGCTTCTACTTCAAGCTAATGATATGAATAAATTATATACAATAGCCTATTCGAATTTATCAATTTCCTTCTGAATTGCAGCAGTCCATGCTTTATTTTTTAATTCTTCAAGGTGCTTGTTTGGTTAGATTTCTGGGTGTTTCACAACTACTTTAGAAGGTTTTTTTGTTTATTGAGTTGTCTTTGGTTGTTGAATAATATGATTCATAAATTAATTAATTGGATACGATGATCAAAATGAACGTATTATTAAATGAATAGATTCATAAATTCTTTAAATTATTATTCAAATTAATCTTTATAACTAAAATTAGCATTATTAAATAGAGTTATGTATAAAATTCATTTATCTTCTTTCATTTCTCACTATCTACAAACTTATTATTTTCAATTTTAATAAATAATAAGATTTATAAAAGAACAATTAAATTAATTATTTTATAAAAATAATATATAATAATATCTCTAATTCATATTTAAATATCTATATCATATTTGAAATGAAATTAGTTGGAAAAACTATATAATTTTAGAAAATATTCATATTAGAACTAAAAGTAGTTATGGTTATTATATTTAGTATATCTATTCCAAAAAATTTTAAACAAGAAATAAGAAATGCCATTTTTTTATTTATTTTTGTTAATTTTAATCATCCAGACTAGATGAGTTAAAATAAATATTGATCTCAAATTAATTTAAATTTAATTATTAAATAGCAATTCCATATAAAAATATAATATATTAAAATCCAATAATATTGTTAAATCAAATGATTATCACACTCTTAGTAATCAAAGTGATCTGTATATTTCCTAATACTTAATTGTAAGAAGGATAAGAAATTTCTCTGTACCCAACAGTAGGAGAATTTTATGAATACTACCTTGGAACTTTTCTATCAAAATCTTAATTAATGTGCAAAATGCATCCTTAAGTTCCAAATGTGTAAGTAATCAATTAATGTGAAGAAATATACCGAACAAAAGGGAATTGTAAGTGATTAAGATTATTATTATAGAATTTATTTCAATGTCGTCAAATAATACACATTTTAGTACATTATCTAATAATAATGAAATAATTATATATGAATGGAAGAATTAAATGATTCAATAAGTTGGAGTATCTGTGCTTATTGATCCTTTGTATAATTGTTTTAATATCGATTTGTTTTTAAATTAGACAATTTTGGTAGATTGCTATTACAACAATGAATTATTATTAATTCAAATAATAGATTCATAATCAATAATTGCTAAATAAATATCATCAAATTTACCTACTTCAACTAAAATATAATCAATTGTTAATGAAACAAATACATTTATTGTATATGCCTAATATTTTAAGAAATATTCAATCCTTACACTATTTTCATCATCATTTAAAAATTTAAGTAGCTTAAATAACTAATTTATCGATTTTGATATACCAATCACAATAAGTCCAAATATTTATGCAATTACTTCCTAAGAGTTATTTTAGTTATCTATATCTTCAGATTCTTAATTTAATTTGATTTATAATTTTAGCTATGATGATATGAGTAATTTTAAAACCATTAATGTTTATTACGATTTTTAGAGTTCCTCTTAATGCGATTAAATATAGTTATTATGCCAAAAAGGGTTCACTACCTAATCAAATTTTACAGTGGTTGAACTATTTGGATGTGAAAGGTAAATAATCTACTAACATAATAATTGCCCAATTAAAAATTGTTCGTCTATCCAGAAGATACTCTAAAATGCTCAATTTATAATCTATAAATAAATTAATAGAGCAGCTATTTTTTAGAAGGAATAAACAAAAAAATATTACTTTTATAAAAATACTCAAAGTAATTAACTATTATACCTCAATAATGATAATGAGTTATTTTAATTTGATAAAGAAATTTTTGTTTATTAAATTTCACAACCATCCTTATAAATCAACTTGACCAAATCTGAAACTACAGAAAATTCATCCCACTTTAATTTAATGTGTTTCAATTATGATTAAACTTATAATTTTAGTCTAATTAATATATATCTTTAAATACTATCTAAGTAAGATACAAATATTTATGTAATGTCAAATGATGGGTTTAATAATTTACTTTTTTTTTAGTATCGTTCTTCTCGAACATTTAATTTTTCTGGTTATTCAGGTTAATTATTAAATTATACTTTAAATAACAATGAATCCTATTTTAATGTTAATCCAATAACTTTATCAAATTATGGTAAAATTAATTAGACTTATTTACTTATATAAATTTTAGTATTAAAGATCAATCAAGTCTAACAATACTTTATAGGATATAATAATTAACAACTTGATATTTTTATTTTCGCTTTCAACTTCAAAAATTATTCATACTAATTTCAGCTATAACAATCAATTAACATCTCTGTAAATGCAATTTCTTTATAAGTTGCCTATAGTATTTATCCAAGTATGCTTATAATTGGTCTCAGTACTAATGATACAATCTATTTGATTTAGTACGACTATGATTCAAATAGTACCATTAGTTCAAAATATACTTTTGAATAAGAATTCTCAGATTTTATAGTAACATATAATAGTATAATAATTCTAATTCTATAATAAGAAATTCAAATATTAACATTTAATTATACAGTTACATATACTTTAAATTAATAGTCAATAAATAAATTATTTAATAACATTACATTCAATCCAATATAAATAATTGTGAATACATAATCATTATCATCTTTTGTATATATCAACAATATAAATGAAATAATAATAATATCAATAGATTAAAATAGTTATCCAATACCAATATCCTTGATTTAAGTCAATTTTACAATAAAATAAATAAATTTAGTAAACTAATAATTGATATTATCGTATATATGTAATAATCAAAAGAATATTTGCTTCTAAGTTTGGAATGTGTAAAATTTACCAAAATATTATTATGTAAAGAATCTATATAGTGTCAATTTTGATAATAATATAATAATATAATCAGATAACTTATTCTTTTATGTTACTTTTAGCAATTACACTGTTTATGTTTATAATCCTTCATTACCATATCATATGAGTTTATATTATATGTTAGAATTAACATCACCTATATAATGTACTGAGTAATTTAATTTAAACAATCCATAATCAATAATAATTACTAACAATACTGTCTATATTCTTTCTGATTAACTAAAGTTTAATCTAACTTATTAATAATCCAATTACATATTTAACAATTCAATAAGTTATCCTTAATTAACTTTTAATTATACTGTAACTTCAGCATTAAATAAC